TTTGTCAATTATCCTCATGCCATTGTTCAACGATATTCCTCAAAACATATTGTTTAATCACCATTTATTACGGTGCTAGGTTTTTTTTTCAATGGGTTAAGCATGAATTTTTATAGCTGTTCAATCAATTTCAGTGACTTTCGTCAGTTTTCATACGCCACAATTATCCAATCGTATTTGTTATTCATCAATTATATTCACTCTATTAACTGAGAATTAATCATGATGCTCGAGAATATCGATGAAATGATGGGAATATTTGAGATTAATGGCAAGCCTCTGAGAAAGTGATAGATATTTGTGATTGGAAGACAAAGTGATTGAAGTTCAATCAAGACTCTCCAACTCTTGATCGATCAGCAATCAGAGCATTCAAGCATAACGTTCTAATTACCTGCAGTTGTTCAATAAATTCTTCAGTGTCCAGCGAGATGGCCTATGTTTCCTGGATGATAATTAACGTCCCACCAGGTGAGGAAAGAGCATTCAAGCTTCATTACACAAGGCAACTGGTACAGACGAGTTCCAGCAGTGCCTCAACATTGAAATTAACTTACATCATCTTCATTATCTAGACAGGGTATTAAAAATGATGAAAATAGTATTTCATGGTTCAACGGGTGTTGTGAATATCCCCATCACCTCCATCACCTTTGTTATTTTATTCTGGTCAATTGATGTGAAAAAAAAATGGAAAATGTCAAGGTGTAATTCAGGATTAAAGCGATGAAACAGATTGAGTGGATTTTTCTATTCGCTGATATCTCCGAATCTCTGGCAAATAATGAAATTTTTGTTAAGAAATTTTTCGGGGGTCTTTTTTCGATCTACGAAAATGGATTCAATGAAAATTTTTTTATCTCTTGTGGTTTCGGGGATATTCCCAAAAAACTGGACGAAGAACTGAATCTATTTTTTGATGAATCGGTTTTTATGGCGAAATATTGTGGCGACAATCGCGAATAAATCGATAATAATAATCGCGATAATAATTAAGAAAATAATTATGTATGTAGGTAATGATGACGAAACTCTAATTAAATTAAATCAATGACGACAGAGTAATTAATTTTAGATTAATGTTATACAATCTTATAACTCGACTCATTTCTCCCATAAATAATTCGCAAATATCTCCGAATCTCCGGCAGATAATGAAATTTTTGTGATAACCTTTTCCAAAGATCTCTATTTGCTCTACAAAAAAGGATTCAACAAAAATTTTGCTATCTCTCATCGTTTCGGAGATATTAGCGAATTTTGAAAATCGTCGGTTTAATAACGATCAGTTCAGCCAACCGAAAATAATTACTAAATCTTAATTAATGTCGGATTAATATCAAGTCAATTGAGATGCACGTGGGTGCGAATCATCAGTGGGCAGTGGTAGATCCATTAATGATCGTCACCCACTGTTTTACTCTGATATTTTTATAATCACCTCATGCACAATGACGTAATGCAGTTTTTCCACTTATTTTTTTCAATGATAAAAAGGACAAGCGATCGCTATTCACGTTGTGACATGACTAATTAAGCGAACGGACTTTTCCTAGTCGAAGGTCAGTCATGCTGAAGGATTCCACCGAGGAAAATCATCCACACATCTCTTGTATTATTTATTTTTTCACATTGTTGCTATTGAAATGAGACCCAGTTTGCATAACATTACTCTATCCTCTCTGCGGTATTTATTCCTATTCTTGGCGCTGAACAGAGAGTTATTGTTGTCTGCAAATGGAGTGTAAGAAAAATTTTCGGAATTTTCGGGAAATTCCAGGGCTGGGAAAATTGAACACTCCAGGAAAAGCGTTTAGAGCAATTGAAAAAGTTAAATGCCAAATAAAACATGGCGAATAAATATGAAAAATATAGATAATAAGAAAATTTATATGAACAATATATTCAATATATTTTTTTTTTCATTTATGTGGGGATTTTTATATTTTTTTTATATTTTTTTTACTATATTCAATATATTTATTTTATTTCATTTTATGTTGAACGGAAAGAATTAATATATTGAGTTCAGTTTAAAGAAAAATTTAATAAAAAAAAATTCTTTTTTTTTATTAAATTATGAACTCAATGTATTAATTCTTTCCGTTCAATATAAAATGAAATAAAATAAATATATTGAATATAGTAAAAAAAAATATATAAAAAATATAAAAATCCCCACATAAATGAAAAAAAAAATATTTTTAAAAAAATATAAAAATCCCCACATAAATGAAAAAAAAAATATTTTTAAAAAAATATAAAAATCCCCACATAAATGAAAAAAAAAAATATTTTTTTTTCATTTATGTGGGGATTTTTATATTTTTTATATATTTTTTTTTACTATATTCAATATATTTATTTTATTTCATTTTATATTGAACGGAAAGAATTAATATATTGAGTTCAGTTTAAAGAAAAATTTAATAAAAAAAAATTCTTTTATTAACAAAACTTTAAGTTGACATTTGTTAACATTTTTAAAAATATAAATGAATCATCATTTCTTTTTTATTTATTTGAGTAAAAATCTGGGATTTTCAATGATAAATTGAATGCACATTTATATTTTTCTCGATTATATTTCAATCGATCAAAACATCGATATTAATATAAATCGTTTTTAAACTACAATTAATTAAATTCATTCAATAAAAATCTGTGAATGACCTTGTGCTCTAGAGTATTCTCTTTTTTCACCAGTCGTACTGTGAAATTATCTATTTTTACTTTTAAAATTGGTCGATCAATTATTTATTGAATGCATTGTTGATAATCCATTGAATATTGCCACGAGACCTGACCCCATCCCTGGCACAGATAAAATAAAGAACATCGATTGAACCCCTGACCTGTTCAACTTTACTCAACTCAACTTTACACACTACATTCAATTTCGGTGAACACCCCAGAGCTAATTTAGTTTAACTTTGTTGATAATCTCGAGAAGTTAAACAATCAAAATTTAACACGCGATAGTAAATGAATATTTAATAAGACTCCATGGGCGATCGATCGAGCTTCACCCCGAGGAATAAATTAATTAATCATCCCGAAAACTATCTCATTATTCATGATAATTAATTATTAATAATCATGAACAATCGTAGTTTTTCCCATGATAATGATAATGATGAATTTTACGAAATTCGAACTTTCTATTCACTTTATCGTATTTTTAAATTCTTCGTTTCTTTTCTATTTTCTTTTTTTAATTTCAACTGTATATTAGGGTATATACAACTTTATATTATTAATAATTTTATTTAATTTCATTCCCATATTTATTTAACAGTGCGACAAATTTTTCATTGAAATTTTAAGGAAAAATCTGAAAATTAGAAAAAAGTAAAAAGTCACTCGAGATTTCTCAGGGGAGAAATAAATAGAAATAATAATAATAAATGCTGAGATGTTCTGCTTTATATAACTTCAGTACACATGAGCCGATTTCATATATAAACTATATACTATAAATATATATATATATATCCACATGTGAAGAGTCATTATACAAATTAAAATTCCCTTTAATTATCCCTCGTAATTGTGACATTTAATTTTTTTTATCTCTCACCGATTACATGTGTAATTCCCAATAATTAGTGACTCGGTAATTATAGTAAAAGGTCTGCAAATAAGTTGCAATGATTTTTCCAGTATTTGACTGATAAATGCGGTATATTTCAGAAAATAATGGCTCTACAATCGCTTTAAGAAACAAAACCACTTGAAAGTGCTCAACAGGTGTTCAACGACTGCTTTCATAGGCCGATCCTCTTACCCTTTCCCCTTTCCCCAGTTCTTCATGAATAGATTAAAGTATCAGGGGTGGAATTCACTGACAAGTTGATTGATTAATCGCGTCATCAATCAATCATCAGTAAATATCAGTGAAACCCTCAATTATTTAATATTATGTAATATATTAATTAATTCATTCAAGATATCGCGAATAATTTCAGTTTTATAAACTTTTTGAATTATTTAAAAACTCACGCATAATTTTTTCAATCCGAATTACTTTTTGCAAAATATAATTTTCATTCGGATTTTGCTACACTAATTAATCACTATGAATTAATTAATTATCCAATATTCACCGTTTTTTATTATTAAATATTAATCACAAGAATTTCAAAATAAAATAATAAATAATTTTGAAAAAAATTAAAATAAATTTCAATGTGTAATATTATAAAATATTAATTATGTTAATTAATCAGTAAGAAGATTCAACTTTTTCGTCTGAAATAAAAAAATTGAGATTTGGAACTTAATCCTGTGTTTTCAAAATTTCACGGATTAAAATCTCCAAGGACGATTAATAATCTGAAAATATCACGAATGATATTTAAAAAAATATGACGACTCTTGTTGCTTCCTGGAGCACGTCTTTATCGAGTATGGATTAAGCCATGCCAGGAAGTCGTGATGAATATTGAACACAAAATCGATGTCTCCAAAAGACCAGTTCAGATTGTTTAATTAACATCGACCCCTGGGGGCCACTCAGGATTGCTCCGGATCTAGGTTTAATTAATGCTTTGATCAACTCCAGAAGACAGATGTCTAGCTCCTCTGATTGCTAATGAATTCCTGAGATTTAAGATGTTTTTTCCATTATCAATGCGTCATTATTAGTCGCTCCTATCCCCTTACAAATTATTATCTCCAATTTACCACTTAAATTCATGAACATTTATTTAAATTATTGAAATATAGGAGTGGTTCACAAATGTTTGGAAAAGATGGGAAAAAATTCGTTATTCTTTTCCCAAAAATCCACCAGCAATAATTGTAAACAAATAAATGAATCAAACAAAAAAATAAATAATGCAAAATTATTAAACACAATTATTAAACAACATTTTAATTATCCCATTGATATAAATCGTTTGTTTACCGGTAGCTGCATCAGTTAACAATTTATTCTTATTTATTTGATGATCATGTTTCATATGGTTAATTAAACAATTAATTTATTTGTGTTTCAGACAAGGACTGATGCTGATGTCATTAAGATGATAGCCTACATTTTAATAGTTGCTGGTGCCCTGACATTTATCGTCAGCTTTTTGGGATATTGTGGTGCCATGTTCGAATCAAGATGTCTTCTCTGTGTGGTAAATACTTTTTTATCCCTCAGTGAATTTTTGAAAATATTTTTGAAACTTTTAGTTTATTCTTTAATTTTTTATTTATTCAATTCGAATTTTTTCTCCCAATATTTAATATTGAAGGAATTAATTTGATTTAAGGATTAAGGATTACTTTATTAAAATTAAAATCTTTCTCATTGGAGAATTTTTATTTAAATGAATTTTTAAAATTTCATTCTATCTCAGTAATTTCATATTTCTTTTTACTTTTTCAGTACGGAATTCTCATTCTCATTGTTCTCATCCTGGAATGTATTGTGGTTGGTCTGGCATTCGGTCTAAAAGGAGACGTAAGTTTTAGAATATTAAAATTCAGTTGCAAAATGGTTGAACGTGAAACATGAACTAATGAGTTTACAAAATTTTTCCCTTTGTAATTTCCCTTTCCTAATTCCATTACTAATTAATCCCGGAAAATATGTACTCCAATAAAATTTCATAGCTATCCCCTATCTTCTTTACTTCTATAAAAACTGGAGTTGAAATCTATTTTCCTGGTATCACGACTAAATTGAAGAAGAATTCCCCTGATTGTTGAAGTGTCTCATGAGTCATTTGATGTCAGAACGATAAAATTCTTGACTGACTGAATTCCAGATAAGAAATATGTAACACCTAATTTTGTAACAACTCACAAAGTCAAAGCAATTCGATCGTTAGAATTTATCGAGGCATCTTACGATTTTTTCCCCTTCCCCTGAAATGACTCTCGAATTGATGGACCCATTGGGACTAATTTAATAATTTTTTCAAGGCTGAAAAGGGCACGAAAGATTTCCTCAAGTCGACGATACAATACTACAACTCTAATGAGGATAAAACTGAGGCTGTCACAGCTGCGTGGGATGGCGCCATGATTCAGGTACGAAAACAATTGCAAATGTAATAAAAACGTGAGTAATTGTTTATAAAAATACGTGTCAGATATTTCATGGTAAATGATCCAGTAATTCCGGATTATCTAAACAGAAAATGTAGAATTCCTCCGGCTCTATCAAAAGATTTGAACATGAAATTATGAATTTTAAATAATAAAATTGTTTATTTAATTATTTTATAAATTGAATTTATTGTTTTAATGCAATTTCTCATTAAGAGTATGGACTTGTGGCTTTTTGCATTGGAAATTGTAAATTCCATTCGTCTAAATGAAAATTTGTGTTAATTCATCTAAACAATTAGTATTTTTTAATAAATAATTATTACTAACGATTTTTCCATGTGGAATTATTTGAAAATGATGACAATGATGACAATTTTTTATTTGATTTAGTAATGAATGGAGTTTATTGCTGTTAAATAATGAATTAAAATAATAACAAAATTTGTTTGTCTTTTATAATTTATTGTTTAATTGTATGAAATTCATTTTGGAAATACTGCAAAAAGTCAAAAAGCAAAAGCCGAATTGAATGTTGGAAGCACTTGCAAAACTAATTGAATTATTTATTATTTATAATTGTTGTTTTATTTGCAGTTGAAATGCTGTGGTGTCGAGGATTACAGGGATTTCCAGCAAAATCGGAATTGGACGCTCATTGGAAGAATGGTACCAGATTCTTGTTGCAAACGAGGAGAGGACGGAGGTCTCATAGATTCTTCGTGTCCCTCAAACCCGTCGGAGGAGAATTCTTATTTCCAAACGGTGAGTTCATCATTCTCCTTTATCTAATCTCCAATTTCCTACATTTACCCTCAGCCATTCAGCACAAGTTAAAAAATTATATTGACATTCAGATAGCAGCAGGAATAAATAGTCCCGATGTTCATAAATCAATTAGATTTTTCCAGAATGCATGCGGGAAAAAATAAATAGAAATTCCAGTCTTCTGGTGTTAGAGTAAACCTCGAGATTTTTCCTGTCTCCAATTAACGGTGAATATTTGAGAGATTATCAGATAACGGAAGACGAGAGAGATTTTTAGATAGAAGAGTCGTCCGTTTTTGTACTGGAGGAAAGAATCAGTGGAGATATCAGAATTGTTTGAGAATAGTTAGAGCAGATATTTTATAAAAATCCTGTTTGACATTTTACTAGTGGCAGGTACGGAATTATTTCGCAATGAACAGGAAGCGATACGGTTCAGCTAACTGCGGTAATTTTTTGGGAATTAAATGGAAAGGTTGATTATTTTTTTTGGATAAACTCCACTGATTATTATTCATTTTCTTTCAATACCGAATTTTCGAAGGAGCAGAAATTGACGGAATTCTTTAATATTGATAATTATTTGGTCGCGATTCAAGGTCACGACCCACATAACCGTCTTCTAGAACTATATCATCTTTAGATATATTATTGATATACCGTATGAATTTTTAGGAAAAGAATTCCAATTTTTAGTCTCAATGCAAGTGACGAAAAAAGGAAAAATTCATCATCAATTCCAATTATTTATTATCGCTGATCATTATTGAAAACAATTCCTATTCCTATCCTATCCTCCTATTATCCTCCTATTATAAAAAGGACAAACATCGAGACTATCGATATATCGAAAATCTGTCACACTTATTCCTCATTGGTTCAATCATCTGAGGCGGTTAATTTGAATTCAGAACTTATTTAATTTTGAAATTTTTAATTTTTAATGATGATCTTTATGTCCTCCTCTTATAAAAAGAACAAACATCGAGACTATCGATACCTCGAAAGTCTGTCACACTTATTCCTCATTGGTTCAATCATCTGAGGCGGTTAATTTGAATTCAGAACTTATTTTTTGGGAATTTTTGAAATTTTTAATTTTTAATGATGATCTTTATGTCCTCCTCTTATAAAAAAAACAAACATCGAGACTATCGATACCTCGAAAGTCCGTCACACTTATTCCTCATTGGTTCAGTCATCTGAGGCGGTTAATTTGAATTCAGAACTTTTAATTCTGACATCTTCAATCATGATTTTAATAACACGAGCGCGCGTCCGCTCTGATGTTCTAATAAATTTCATACATTTGCTTCTCTACTTTATCCAGGGTTGTTACGAAGCTGTTGCCCGAGCAATTGAGAAGAACATCGGAATAATCATCGGTGTAGGTGTGTCACTCCTCTTCGTTGAACTCCTCGTCACAATCCTAGCTCTGTACCTCGCCTGCTGCTATTGGCGTCCACAACATGGTAGGCTCGGAATTAAAGTTGACTTTAAATCATAAAAAAGCCTGAAATTCATGCCAAAGACCAAAAAAAAAAAGAATCATTTAAAATAATACTCAAAAAATTTATTCATAACGCCATATACATAACGGCAATGCACGTGGTTGATTTTTCTAAATAATATATATATTTTTTTTATTTTCATTGTTTTTTTTCTCTATTTAATTAAACAATTCTTCTTTCATTTGTTCTGAATTTTTTTCTCTCACTTTTTTTTTGTCTATATGTTCAAATTTTTTTTTATTTCTTATGAAATATCTATGGGTAATTTGCAGTTTATCGATGCGTAGAGCCACCCGGCAACGAGTAAACACACGGGAATAGACAAATGAGGGACGTTAATTAGATTTATTGTTAATTATTAATTTTTCTTGGTAATTTGAATTTTTTTACGACCTTTGTTCAGAGATTGTAGAACGTTGTGCTCCCAATTTGGATTGTTTATCCAATGGAAATGAGAAAATGATTTTTCATTATATTTTCGGTTTTTTTTTGTTGTTCGGTTGTTATTAGATAAGACCAGAGTAAAGCCCGTGCATGCCAGTGCAATTACGATGTAATTATTCACTGTAATATAATGGATTCATCAGGAGATTCACTTCGTTTGTTAATAATTTATTCATTTCGCTTGTCGAGATGATCGAAAATTCAATTAATAATGATTTAATTCTCGAGAGTTTGGAATTGGAGGGAAATTCAAATCTCAAAGAATTCAAAAAAGGGAATTTAATTCTCGGTTTTGAAATTTATTTCTCCGCCTTTTTGAATGATAATTGGAAAATGGAATGGATCTCCTCCAGATATTTTCGTTTCTCTGCTTGACAATTGAAATGGTTTCGAAGAGCCAGACAATAACTCGGCTTATTGCAAAATATTTTTCGCAGTTTAATAAAAGTTTTCTAATTCATACATTCATCAGGAATTCTCTCATTTCTTTTCACTCACTAAAATTCCTCTCTCTCTCTCTCTGTCGCTTGAGCCGAATCTTTCATTTACATTTGTGTGGTGAAACATCATACGTCTGATGCGATTTTCTTGGAGATTATGGAAACACTCGTAGAGTAATTAATTCCAGGTGAAGAAAATGAAATAATTTTCCCGAAACTTCAGGTATTTATTTACAAAATTGAAAATTACAGAAAAATTCTAGAAAAATTAACAGTTCGAAAGAAATTGCAATAAAAAATTCAAAAGATCGTGGGATTTTTTTTTGGGATTACCGAAAATCAATAATTAGAAAATTCTCGTTTTTCATGCTCCCCTGATACTATTTCGAAAAATTTGAATTTTCACATTTCAGTGAATACCTCCTCGATTTTCATGTTTCCCTGATACTTTTTTGAAAATGTTGAATTTTGAATTTTCAGTGAATACCTCCTCCATTTTCATTCTCCCCTGATACTTTTTCAAAAATTTCGAATTTTCGCATTTCCGTGAATACCTCCTCGATCGTCATACTCTCCTGACACTTTTTCAAAAATTTCGAATTTTTCTATTTCACAGAATACCTCCTCGATCGTCATGCTCTCCTGATACTTTTTCAAAAATTTCGAATTTTTCTATTTCACAGAATACCTCCTCGATCGTCATGCTCTCCTGATACTTTTTCAAAAATTTTGAATTTTTCTATTTCAGTGAATACCTCCTTGATCCTCATGCTCTCCTGATACTTTTTCAAAAATTTCGAATTTTCAAATCTCAGTGAATACCTCCTTCGTTTGCATGTTCCCCTAATATTTTTCGAAAATTTCCAATTTTTCAATTATCGTAGTTTTCAACTTATCCTAGTCTCTGAAGATGAGTTTTCCCCCAATATCTCGGAATCGAAGCAAAATATTCATATTTACATAGTTACCTTTTTTGTAGCACTCGCTTTTCTCTACAAAAAATTTACAACTCAAAATATCGCTATCTTCCTCCAATTGCGCGTAATCCGCGAAGCGCTGAACTTATCCCAATTTACCTCATTCCACGAGATTCCCCGCTGCGTGCGACAATTTTCCCTGGAATCATTAACTCTGGAGATAATTTCATAATTAAAGCATAAATACATTGACCAAACGTTCCATTCTGGTTCCGAGAGATGAGGAATCAACTAAATTTCAAATTAAAGATGTTCAAAACTCTTCAACCCAAAATTCACATTTATTTTTACTTTCCTGGTAAATAATCGATAGGATTACCACAAAAAAATACCTATTATATATTTTCAGTATGTAAATATAATTATTTAATAACTCTCGAAATTTCACAATGATGCTAATTTTCCTGCGATTTTCCAACAATTTTATAATTCTTCCAAAAGTTAATAACAAAAAACGCAGAAAAATGCTCATCATCCCTCACGAGTCATTAAACAACAGCAAAACAACAACAGTATATTTTTCCACTTAAATCTATCGTAAATTTACCAGAAAATAAGAAATCGTGGATTTTGTGTGAAGAAGTTCTAGAACTTCCTCAAATACCAGAATGTACCTGAAAATGAATTCCACAAAAAGAAATCTGGTATTCATCATTGACTTATTACGTTTAACCACAGCAGTAAGAGTTTCATCAAGATTAAAAATCAAATCCAAAAGAGAAAAAAAAAAAACATTTTTCCAGCTTGCGTAGACGTCTCGTCGAGGCAGGCCTGGTGAATTGGGTGATGGTGCTTCCGGTGAAGTATAATAACACCCCAATTAACATTCCCTTTTAAAATCATCTCAAGAACACCTCCAGAGTCCCATCAACTAATTACTATCGCCAATTGTTACGTTCTGACCTTTATTTTTCCTCACGCGTTGCATTGGGGAAGAAAAAATGAGGTGATGATGTCAATTAGTAATTGACCTTAAAAACTTGGGGATGACGTCTCGAGTTAACACCAGAGTCATCCCGTCTACGAGACATCAAATTTTGTGGGAATATCAGTTATCAAATATAATTTTTTTAATCCATTTTTCCAACTGTCCGAGAATAATTACACGTTTATATTATTATTGATACGTTTTTTAAGCGAAGGACTTTTTTAGAATGAATTTAACGCATTCATAGTGTTTTTTAAATTTTTTTATCAAGATCTGATTTTGTTGTCTTTTGAATGTCAATGAGATTTATTGGAAATTGTTAATTTCTTTAAATTGTTCATAGAGCAATGAAAAATTATTCCATTATTAATTCAAATGAAAATTTGTCAAATGAAATTCTCCAAAAGTAAATAAAAATATTAGATAATGCCAAACAGAATGACCAATAACAAAAACGAATTCTAATTAAACAAATTGTCTGTGCTCCAACGATTTTTTAAATCCTAAATTTATAAGATCGTTCAACAATTTTACAAAATTATTATTGCGGAATGATTAATTACGCATTGAATCTGATGATGATTAAATAATTTTCTGCGATTCGAGGATGACTTTCGACAGTTTTAATTGTTATTCCTTCAATTTAAATAATAACATCTCCATTTTACCCGGCACTCTTTAAATAATTTAACAAAAACACCTCACGTTCTCCAGACTGATGGAAATGCCAAAAATAGCTCAAATCCTCAATAATTATCCGACAATTACCAGATGTTAGACTCTAATTAGACAAACTGACAGATCTACGAATAAACCTAGTTTGAATGCAGAAGTGGGCGAAATTCTCGAGTGTAATTGATGCCGATGATCTAATTAAACTCAGGTTCATTGGCTCACTGTCGACTAATTTCTTTTCATTTTAATATTCATGCATTACCCTGTCAAATTGAATGATTAATTCAATTACACTAGTCTATTACTGAAAATAGAAGAACTTTTCAAAGAAACAGCGAAGGTAATGCTGATATTAAATAATTGCACAACTGTTGCATTTGACGTTCAGTTTAAATTCTTCCTAAATAAAAAACAATAACAAAAACAAAAACAATAATAGCTTCGAACATTTGAGAAAAATTGGAGAGGAATTCTCGATTAAATCTCGATCATTCAATTAAAATCGAATTGAATAAATAAATTGCTTTTAATAAACGCAAGTTTATTCATTAATTCTTGTTATATTATAATTATTATATTATACTAATATTATATATATAATAATATTATATTATATATTATATATTATTATATTATAAATGTTATATTATAATTATTATTCATTTTTGAAATTTTTATCGCTAAACAATTCATACGAAACTAGAGAGCAATTGTTTGTTTTCATTGTTTAATAATTATAGATTGATAAATATGATAATAAAATTATTTAATAATGAAATACCTTTTTCGTTATTATTGAGAGTAATTTGAATGTTCAATAGTTTAAATTTCAATTTATTATTGCGGATTGGTGATTTTTTATTGTAAATTCGATTTTATGATTTATTTGAGAATCTTTTTGCTTTTTTTTGTGAGAATTTCCCCGCGTTTTCTCTGAGGCCCTCCATATTTTCACTTTTCTCGAGATATCGCCAGAAGTTTGAAATTGTTAATTGATTTGTGTTCATTCAATTTGAATAATAAAATATAATGCCAAGGTGGGAGTGCAACGTGTGCTCCAAGAATATTATTCTATCCTAGAATTATTATTAAAAAATGGGACTGGTTTCCACTTTTTCGTAAACCAACAAAAATCATTCACATGATCCAACTGCTTTTCTTTAACATTTTCACTGATTAAAATTAATAATCATGAATATTCTGGGATATTTATCATCTTTTGCTGTTTCAGGTTGTTTTAATCTCGGTGTGGGTTTAATCTGCCTCAAACGATCGAGTAATCAAGGAAAATAGAAAATTATTTCACTAATTATAGTTATATTTTTCTTTTTGTTGATAGAATATAAATAATGAAGTGGATTTATTATTTTCCTTTTCCGCGATTACAAGATCGAAAATCTGTAATATAACAACAAATAACCCAATAATTTTCATTATTTTCTTTAATTTTTATCCATTTCTTATTCTCTGGTAAAGGAATCAATCGTAAGAAGAATTTTTTGGTGAGAATTGTTGTTATTAATTGTTTAGTTTGATTTCACGGAAAATTAAATGAATTTACGTTTTGAAGTTTTACCACTGAATTTGGGGAATTAGGAGTGGGAGAAGAAAAATTGTGGAGTAAAATGAAACAACAATGAATTTCAATCCTCGGGAATTCCTATTTTTCGTTCATTTTTTATAAAAAAATGAGAGCAATTAATCATTTTTTCTTATTCAAAAAAACAAGAAATTTTCACGTAACTCTTCATCTTCGTTGAATTTTGGAAATATCTCCGAAACTAGAGGAGATGGCAAAATTTTTGTTGGACCTTTTTTGGAGTTCTCAATAAGTTCTAAAAAAAAGGTATCAACAAAAATTTCGGTATCTCCCTTAATTTCGCAGATAATTATTAAAAATTAAACCGTCATTTTAAAAAATACAAGATATCAACGTAAACCTTCAGTGAATTTTTTAAAATATCTCCGAAACAACTGGAGCTATCAAAATTTCTATAATAACCTTTTTTACAGTTCTCAACTAGTTATAAAAAAAAGATATTAGCAAAAATTTCGGTATGTCCCTTAATTCCCGAGATATTCATCGTAAACGCACCAAAGACTTGCCCTGTTTCACCCTTTCCCTGCATAATTGTTTCCACTCACTAGTTAAAATTGCAAATAACAATAAATTGCGATTCTGGTGTACTCCAGTAATCAACAATATTATTACTTGCCTATTCTTTTATTTTGGAGAAGGAAAAATGATTGAAATTGCCTTTTTTGTATATTTTTTTCATTTTTTCTATCGCGTAAGGGAGACCCGAGCAAAATGGCACACAAGATAAAATAAAATGCGTGTAAAAGAATATGAATCAAGAGATTCAATAAAAGACGATGAGAAATCAATCATCAGAATCCATTATTCAACATTTCACTTTTTCCAGAATTTTATTCCACTCAACTGATAAAATAATAAACAATTCAAATGAGATATCGAATTTTCTGAGAACGTTGCATAAAAAAAATTGAAAAATCCACAGTATAATTTAAATAAATAAAAATTAAAGTCGCAAAAGGCACTGGGACACCTTTAGACTGTCTCCACCATTTTTTTGTGAGAAATAAATAATTACTGGGAATTAATTAGACACTTCCTCGCGTGTCCCATTTTGCTCTTTATCCTATTTTATTCGGATGTATTCCCAATATTTTCATTTTGATGAGGAAAAATCATTGTTAATGCTTTATTTATTGTTTCATTTTGCTCCACTTGGCAATAACGACAATAGCACTCTAGAAATTCTCATTGCAGTGGTAACTTGTTGGTGCTGTTGCTGACGAGGCGTTAAGAGCATGGATCTGTTGAGTAGTGCCTCCTAGCATTCGCACGTTCAAATCCGTAGAGATCCTGTGCCTTGCTTGCTTGAAACGAAAAAATAAAAAAATGATAAACCTTTATCATAAATTAATCGAAAGAAAAACCTGAAATGTGCAATTCCCCGCATAAATCATCAATCGAAATCGATAGGAACGTCGCACACAAGATAATAAATCACCTACAGACGCCAAAATACTGGACCATTTTGACTATTCGTTTTTTTTTTTTACGCCAACGAGATTATCGATTTAATCGATTGATTTCGCAGATCTGCGTTTTCTGTAAAAAATTCATTAAGGGAAAATAAAAATATGAGAAACAATTTAATTGATAAATTAACGTTAAGTCTCTGTTGTGTCAAGGTCAGGTAATATTAATATTATAAATAATACTCTATTGAGAAATTGGTGCAGCGGTGGGAGGTGTACTAAAAAAATCATAATAATTGTTTATTTGGAAAATGGAAATTACGTATTTAACAGAGAAGTAGCAATCGAAAATTCTCGGAAGGTACGAGAGGATGATGTTTTTTAAATTGTTTATGTATGTTGTTTAAAAAATAAATCACTAAATCTTTTAATCTCAATTTTCCTCCATTCGATTATCAAATCGATGGAAATTCTGAGTCTCGATTCTACATCTCGTTAATTTGTTTCTCCGCATGCACTGCACTATAAATATTGTATTTATTTAGTAATAACATTTAATACTCTAATTGGTCCCTCGTTCTCACTTTCTCAGTATTTTGTGGTCGTACTCTTTAAGTGTACAGAAAAAAAAGTGGAATGTCTTTTTCTATTTTTCATTCCTCTGTAGAATTAAATAGTATTCACTTTTGGCGCTCAGAAAGTCATCGAAAATTATTTACACTTTTCAAATGGTAAATTCATTGCCATGATGAAGGATGAAAGTAATAACAATTATGGAGTAAATAAAAGTTTTATAATTCAGTTAACAAAGTCGTACATTAGGATGAGTTCGTAATTTTTCTCAAATATCTCGGTATTGAAGAAAAATATCGATATTATCGTCACCACCTTTTTTGTAGAGCTCATCTTTCTCTACAAAAAATGTAGAGACGAAAATATCGCTATCTCCCTTTGATTCCGAGATATTCCAAAAAAACTGGAATTGAAAAAAATGCTCTGATCCTAGTTTATCAGTTCTCAACAGAATTTGTTCATTTAATTTTTTTGTTGCATCATATGGTTAATTTTTCTCTGACAAGTCAAGAATATAACAGCTTCACTAATGAATAAATAAATACGCGTTGAAAATATTTGATATTTATCATATAAATTAAATAGTTGATTAAATAACGCAAAAGTAGAAATAAAATAATGACTCATTGTAATTAACAATTAAAAGTGGAAATTCATATGAAATGAGTAAATAATTCCACGAATACGGAATTGACATAAATGATGAGTTAATTGTTATAATTAAAGTGTCAGGTAGTTTTGCGCATTTTGAAAAAGAAAAATATTATTCACTCGAATGCAGAGACTGATATTCAGACCTAAAGAAGGAAGAAATGAAAAATAATTCGAGATTTGTGTATATATTTGACACAAGATTTATCTATTATTAATTATAAAAAAAAAAATTATAATAACAGTATAATAAATGATAAGAATTAATGTAATACGTGATTACATAATTGATGATTTGTTAATTAAGAGTAATGAATGTTTCACTGTCTCTTCGTAATGCTGTTCAACAATTTTCCCTCCTTTTTGTTTGTAAAAAATGTACACACAGAAATGAATAAAAAATTTTATATTATTCTTAATTTTTATATTTTATATTCAATAATTAAATCACTCCAATGAATTAATTAACTGATTCGCTTGATTAAGTGGAAAATAAAAACAATTTTTAATCCGCGGATAACTTTTTATTAAGAGAATTAACCACTAGGGCGAGTTAATTAATTAATTAATCAATTAGAGTGAATTAATTAGCGATTGCCTCAATAATCATTTAATCTATGATTATTTTTATTTATTTATTTATGTGATTGCGATTCGAATGAATTTAATGATTAAATAAATTGCGTGAGAAAAATTTGAAAAATTGTTATAAAAAGTTTATAAGAGATTTTTAATTGATTCTTTAAACAAATTCTGTATCCAATATTTCACCGGTATTGCGCCTGTTCCCAGGAATCAGTTCATCTTTATTAATTAATTCTCGGGACAACGAAAGAACAATAATTTATATTAGTCGGACCAAATATATTTATTAACTAATAATCTTCAGTTAATAGGAAATGGACATAAAATGGGTCAAGTCAGAGTACATTATAAACATGATTTATTAACAAAAAAAAAACAGAAAAACAAAAAATCGAATCAGAAATAGATCCATAAATTATGAAGATTTTTTTGTTTAATTTTTGTCTAGAAGTCTGTCGCAAATAACGCGACGAATAACGATGGAGTTACACTCCCTCCTACGAATTCATGCCTCAAATATCAGAAAAATGGTAACAATAATTTTATGTTTCACTTCCCTCTCTCGTATCGATGCAGAAAAAAATAACTTTCCCACTGGAAAGCCAATCATTTCAGAAAATGTATTTCTCCATATTTTCCTTCACAAGCTCTAACTTCTTATTGATAATCACCGCTAAAAAAGTATTCGGTATGGATAAGCTCACGATCCAATCTACACGGGAAAAGCTTTCGACTTTTTACCGCTAAAAGTCCCACGTCCTGTCATCACTTATTCTCATACACTCATACCGTTTTCTCTATAATACATTCAATAATTCGATGAGTAGAACATAACAAAACGATTCGTGTCGACCAAATTTAACATTTATCACTTTTTCAAAATCCCCAGAAATTCATTTCAAACCGAAAAATCTCTCCTTGACATTTCACAAGCGAAAAGTCCTCAAATCCCTCAATATTTCCTATAAAAAATCCGCATTAAAATATTTAATTATAAAAATTGACTGTTGAGGAGTCAAAACCTGCAATAATCAATTCTCAAGAAATATGAATTTCAAGGAAAAATGTCAAGTGATTTCTCGAATTCGTTATGACCCAAAAGCAATAATATTTAACTCCAAAAAATAAATAAAACCTCCAAATGTGTAATTTATTATCAATTCCGTGGAAAAACGTCTGATTCGATTGATTACGTTCCACCACGTCACAGATTTTCAATTGATAATTGATTCTCTAATGATTCTACCTCGGTAATTTTAAGTACAAATCGTCGTTCTCTGCGTTGGTATCAAATATATTATGCACACTTTGATTCTACTCGAAAAAAATTCTTAGTCATTATCAATCGTTATTAATTTATTAATAATAAGTTCCTTATTAATAATAAGGTTTCTTTTTTCACGGGTTTTAGCACATGAATTTCAGTAGAGAGGTGGCATACTGCATCGGCTTGACGTCTGGATGGGGCTGTAAAAATTCAATGAATTCCGATTAGAATTTTAATAATTTATTTCTGAATAACGCGTTATTTTTTCTCGACGTACCACTGCTTCGTAAGTTCTGAAGTTCGGTTTCATGTCTTTACCATTTAGAGTTATGAAAGCACCTCGATTACCCATAGTATCGCTGCAATATAAATAATACATTAACAATGTTTAACCAAAACTACTGAAACTACAAAAAAATTCCTTTTGTTTCAACTGAAAGACAAAGATTATTAATTATCATCACCTTTTAAACTTTAAACTTTTGAAATTAAGAAAAAGCAGGTGGAACAGTAAGTACATTGACTATTAAATAATTATCAATTAGTTAATCATTGATAATAATATTAATTAACTGAAATTATTTCATTTTTATTGATACAATTCAAGTTTTGGCGTTTAATTATTCAAGATGGGTTGAGTAGAAAAAAGACCTAACAAGTTTCTATTATTTAAATAATAGAGAATATTTTTTTATAATAATTAATACGCACCAGTAATTTGGAGCTGAAAAAACAGTGATGCACTTGCCATCATGGCCGATCTCGTACCCATCATTTTTTACTTCATGACTCCTGACGACGTAATCGAGTTTATTGAGCTCCAGAAATTTTTGAGTAATATCAGGTCCGAATTGAACTCCAACCCCTCTTTTACTGGATGCACGTCCAGGTTGTGGCTGAGGGTCAGACCACAGGAGTTCGCACATGACACCCTCGTCTGGAGGCTGCCTGTTCCTCACGATCTCGCGAATCTCCTTGAGAGTAACATTGTCCCGCGAGAAGAGACCACCATGCATTACTATTACTCTATTATTGAGGAGATGAGCTAGGGGAAGCCAATTGTAAACTTCAGTGAAGAGGAGGGCCATCTGCGTTGTGTATTTCGCTTTTACCTCACCGTCAAACCCGTACATGCGATTCATCATGGCTGATTCGTGATTTCCTGCAATTTTTCATTACATCTCAATGAAATCGTTATCAATTTTTATAAATTAATGAGTGACTAATTAGAAAAAAATTTCAACTCCAGGGAAATTCCACATTAAATTCCAGAGGAAGTTGTGTCAATCTGTGGAATACTTCCATAATTAAATAATTAGTTATTGTCAGTTCAACTGATTAATAATTTTTGGTGATTAATTAGAATTTAGGTGAGAGAAAAAGTGAGTATTTACCTCTAGACATGAAGAAATGATTGGGATACAATAATTTAAATCCAAAAAGTGTGAATATGCATTCCACTGAGAATGACCCTCGATCAACGAAGTCACCGTTGAATAACTAGAATTCTTAATTAAGAAAAAATCGTGTAAATGGTGTAACGAGGAGTAATAAGTATTAATAGATATCAATGAGAAAATATATCAAAAGGATACATAAGGATTGGTCTCCGATGGCAGACCATTGAGTTCGAATATATTGAGTAGATCGTAGAACTGTCCATGAATATCTCCACAGATCGTGAATTTACTATCATCCGGGATTGCCACGTCTATCAAACTCGGCTGGGCCATGAACCAGGTCTTCACGTCGAGGAGAATCTTGTAAGCGTATTTTCTGGGGAGTTTCCTCTCGTCTTTGTACCATTTCAGGAGCTCCTGCATAAATTTCACTGTTACTTTCCCATCCTCCAGCTGGGGACCAATGTAATCATCGTCGATCGCTGAAAACCGTTTAAAATTCATTACTAAGAAGTTTTAATCACAAACACGAATCATTTTTCATTAACTATTTACTGATTACCAATTGAAACTGCCTTGAAAAAAGACACAAAACAAAATGTTTAGAATATTTGATACTGAAATCATTTGTAGACACTAAAAAAATAAATTATAAGATTTAAACAATTTTGTTAATAAAGCTAATTGAATTATTTTTAAATATTCCATCAGAAATACTATTAAAAACCGATAAAACATGTCTCTCCAATTTTTTACTCCTCCTCAATTATTTCATCACAAATATTAGACACAATAAAAAATTAGTAAAACCTCTCCCAAAGTCCCTGCCAATTATTTAATGATCCGTAGACAAAATTGAATTAAACTGTATAAACAAAAAGCAAAACAAAAAATTGGGAACAAGTATTTCGATGAATTCAACAAAGTTGCATAAATTAAAAACATTTACATTAATATCACAAATTTGATAACTTACTCATTGCTTCCAGATTAATGCTATCAGCAATATTTTTTTGATTCTCCTCAATCGAGATAGCTTTCTCAAAGGCTAGCTTCTTAACAATTTTGTTACACTCAGTATATTTTAGTTTAGCATCCTTGTCATAGGGACTTGCTTTTACAACTGTCTCAAAGTCTTTGAGGGCCCGTGTGAATTTACTCAGGGACATGTAAGCAGCAGCACGTCTGTAATACCCTTTTATATAATTTTTATCCAACTCGATGGCCTTAGATGCATCTTCAAGAGCATAGCCGAAGCATTCTGTCTTCAAATATGCAAAACTTCGATTTGCATGGTAAGTTGCTACATTTGGATCTGTTTCTATAGCCTTTGTATACAATTCTATGGCTCTTTCGAAATCTTGTTCTGTGGGAATAACAGAAAAACATTATTATTCATTAGTTAACAAATTCTATATCGATAAATCATTACTATCGTTAACGGTTCCCTAAGACTGATAAAATTGATAGTCTGAATATTGTGATTAGAAATTCAAAAAGTCAATTTATGCATTTATCCGAATTATTGTACAAATGCTTCTGCGAAATATCATTTATTATCCCCAGATTATTAAAACTAATTAACTCTTAGTTGATAATTTTCAAAGCTTTTGTTGAATTTTCTGTTATAATGAGTTCATCATTGGGGTTTATTCTCGAGGGAATGATGCGCCTCTGATAGAAAGGGTTTAAAGCTGATAGTTTATTTAATTTCTTGTTTGCAATAAAATAAAAGGGATTAGGTGGGTTTTTGTTTGATACATCGAGTGGAAAAGAGTTGAGTCGACAAACCCATAAATCTATAGATTATTGAGTGGAGATTTGAGAGGACATTACTCTGTTAGAGGGAAAAATCGAGAGAGCTAAGTCGATTTACTAATTGAGAATGTAAAACGATTGGCGGAAAGAGTCGATAAAAAATTGTTAAAAAATGATGTGCAGAAGTTGGAAATTATGACGTTGAAAATTCTCTCGATGGTAAACAAAATTCGTCAATGATTTCGATAATTCACTGAAGTCCGGTGACCATCAGTCTTTCGGCTTTCCTGTAAAATAACCATTTTTCCACTTTATTGCTTGACAAATACCAAATAAAATAAAATTATTATGAATATTTAATGAGACAAGTTTGGTTAGTTCTCAACGCACGTGATCGCCATCCACTTCTTTCTCCAGCTCCACATTCTCGTGTCTCCCATCAATTTTCTCCAACTAATTAGAAAAAAAAGATGAAAATATTGAAAAAAACTCACTCTTAAAAAAATCATTGGCCATCTCCTTGTACGACTCAGCCAGGTAGACTTTCTCCAGGTACAATTCATCATCAAGAAGGCCTTCATTATCACTCATTTCAGCAAAATAATAAAAAATAAAATTAAAAAAGGGTTAACCTAACGATTCCAACGAGTTGCTCGTCGATATCACTGAAAATTCTCAAGATCTCTTGAATTGTGTGATGACGTGATTAACACAGTTGTGTGTTTAATCTCGTTAATTTATTGTTCACTATTGTTAATATTAAATTAATGATTTGTGTTCCTTTTGGGGAACTTTTCGATCTTATATCTGCTGGTCGATTATTCTGGATCCCATGGACAGACAGAACACAACAGAATCGCCTGAAGTTGTCGATCCACTTGAATTCCCGAGTTTAATCGATTTTCAACTTCGAGGTTACAATCGATGATTACGATGAACATTTCATTTTTAGACGGCACATGACGATTTTTAATGTCACCTTACAGGAATGGAAATTTAATTTATTATTTAACAATTCATTCTTTTTAGATATTTATTTTTTTTTTATTTATTTATTTATTTTTGAGGGAATATTTGAATTTTTGGTAAATGCAAAATTTACGTTGAGGACTTTTTAACGCGAATTGTTCGAAGAAATAACAACAAATAATCGATAATTATAAAAAATTGATGAAACAATGTGTCATCATAGAAAAGTTTCGCAGAAAAAATTTTCGTGAAAATTGAGGAAAAATCGCAAAAATTCGTTAATTTATCAATTTTTCGTTTAATTAATTAATACTCAATTTTCATCTTCATGTAATTCGGTAAAAAAAATCGTAATCATTCATCAACTACTCGGAAATCAATTAATTAAAATGTAAACGCTGATAACATTCAATTCGCATTTAGATTTCCCGCCGTTTCGACAATTCTCTTTAAAATCCTCGAAATGTCAATTTTGTTTAATAAATAATATGATAATTAAAAAACCTTGACCCCCTGAATTATATTCCTCTAAATTCGAAGGGATTACCCCTAATTACTCAACGAAAAAACCATTTAAATAACTAACAAATCACAACAAATAAAAATCTCTCAAAAATGACATAAACAATTGTAAATTTTCATTGTCAAAACATCGAACTCGTAAATTCACTATTCAATATTTATGATCACAACCAGAAAATTCTTTTACCTAATCATAATTTTTCTAAAAAACCGTCAAATTTTTTTAGTTTTTTAAAAATCAAATTGTATTGTAAATAAACCATTCAACTATAAACACCTTAAATTCAATTCTAATTACTAAAACTCCACCAAACAGCTCCTTATTTATTTATTACTCCCCAAGGATACAAGACAATGTAAAAGAATAACTAAAGATTATTATTTTTAGATTCTAGAAATCCGTGGTGACATCTGCCAGTTCAGCTCGACAATTTAATATGGAAAGAAAAAAAAAATGGAAAAAGAGAGAGCGAAGAAGTCGATCCATTGAAGAGGAAATAAAAAAAATCCAACCTCTCACTTTATAATCGTGGTAAACATAATCATCGGTTTCATTGGTGCAAGATAATCATTGAAATAATAGTCTCGAGGGAGTGAAAATATCAAGGGACTGCAAGAGACGCAAAAGTGAACAAGACATTAAATAAAATTTAATTGTCACAATTCGGTGGAAATATTCCGTTGTTTAACGAGGCTGACGGCGACGGAGTCATTACGTTGATCAAATCCTTTAAAAATTCATGCCCCGATATCCAAGGAATAAATAATGTTGGTGAATTGTTCGATGTTCAGGCGAATTTCTAGGTTACTGTGACGTATCCAGAGAATTTCCACCTGAGATTAACGGCTGATTGCAAATCTGTTGCGTTCTAGCTGTTATTTAATTTTTTTTTTCACATCAATTTATTGCATCTGTTCGGTGATATCGCGAGTGATAGTTGATCGTCATACTTGATGAGTGCATTGATTTTTTTAATACCCATGGATCTGTGAATTGAGCATTGACTCATTGTGATTAATCAAGAATTTATTTGCACCTGTGAATTGGATTATTTTTTTTAATTAACTATTTGAAGGTAATAACAGTGTCATAATTTTGTGATTGTTGAGGGATGAAATGGGGTGGGAATGAGGTCCAGGGGGTGTTGCAAATCCTCTGAGGTGTGAGGGGTGAAGAGAGGATTTTCCGGGGAATTTGAGTTCGTGAAAATTGATGGATTATTCTTTTGGAATTTCATTGTTTCAGGGAGAGCATCTAGACTTGATACTGGCATTCAGGATATTTTCATTTATTTTTTAGGTTATTTTTGTCTGGTCTCGTGGAGGGAGAGATGTTTTGTGAAGTTCAGGTGTCGATTATTGCGGAGTACTTCAATTCATTGTCATTTATTGTGGATCATTTCGTCATCGGGATGTCCTCGGAATATTGAGAGGAGTTAATCGATTTATGGGGATTCAATGACGGAAGATTAATTCACTTGTGGATTAAATAATCATGACAACATGGCAGCAATCTTGAGATTTAGCAATTCAAAATATTTAGTTTAAATATTTGACAAACTTTCCTTGGAGATATTTTTATGGGGGAGGGCATTGAATCAAATATTTCGTTGCTAGGGTCGGGAGTAATTATCTTGATTGTATTCGTTTGTTTCCAGTTCAATTAAACAATTACTTCTTTGCGCAGTGTTTAGCAACAATTTGTTTGAGTCCAACACATTTTTTGTGAGGAACAATTCATTTTTATTGAATTGAAATCCGAAAATGTCAAAACAATTCAATTAAGCTCCTCGTGCTTATGATCATTGAGAAAGTCTAATTATAATTACGATTTCCACTGAAATTCCTGAAAATTCCTCGAACCCAGTGATTATCTAAAATTTATTTGTCAAGACCTTAATTGTTCTTTTAGATTCCAATAATGAATGATCAATTTTTTGTTGCAGATCGACGTAAAGGTTCCAGAGAGAATCTGATTCTGATTCCTCAGATGCCCACGCGAGAATGGTGTCGAGGAATATCTGATTGTTCCTCCCCTAGGCGACCAGTAATGATTCACTCAGTCAGATTGGATCCAATGTACCCACCTCAGATAAATGTGCGATGAATAGTAGTGGTTTCCGAGAACGAGGCTTCGGACCACAGGGGCGTTTCGAGGGACCCCAGGGAGGCAACCAGAGCGATGGTTCACGCCAGAACAATCGAGGCTTCACCCGTGGCACCTTCAATCCCCAACGACGAAATGATCGTCCCCAAATGGACATGTGGAGTCCCTCCAATCCCCAGCCCTTCTACCCCCACAATCCCCCCCACAATCCCCCTCACAATTCCCCCCATAATTCCCCCCAATCCTGGCAGAATCGTCCACGTTTCCCAGGTAATTTGCGACAGCCATTTCGTGGTGCACCGAATTTTCCATTGAGAGGTGGTAGAGCACCATTTCAGCGAGGCACTGGTCCAGGCTTCAGGTTTCCCAATGGCAGAGGCAATCACTACCAGAATCCAGACTTCAGATGGAGATTTCCATACAGAGAAACACCAGTGCAGGCTGAAAAATCACTGCCTGATCCTGGCCCATTACTTCTGGGCTCTGAGGAGGAGCGAAGACAGAAAATAACTGATGCAGTTGACGAATTGAAGCGCAAATTGCTGTGCAATGATGGCACATCAGCTGATGATGCCAATCTCTGGGACGATGACTTTAATCTATCAGGGCCGGAGATTAATGATGAGGGAGGACCTAAAGGGAATCCTGAGCTCAAGCATGGACCACCTGAGATCACTCTCACCACTAGTGACCTCAAGGACATTGGAAGAGTTGATGTCGACTCTGGACAGAGGTCTGGGGATATCGATGAGCATGATCCAGATTGTCAGATCATCGATGTCGCTAAGAGTGTCAGGACTTTCAGAGAAATCATCATCCACGACACTGGTGAATCATTGGATTTACTCGATGAGAATAATCCTCAACCCCAGACAAACACCCCCGGGGATAATATCGAGTTTACCACTGACAAAACCGTGGAGCCATCTGAACCCGATAATTTCACCCATGACTTGAACATGGAATCAAATACCGATACGTATCACTCAAATGTGGAAGAAACAGCACCAGAGGACCAGGAAAATCCTCCAGATGCCCATCCAGATGCCCCTCTAGATGCCCCTCCAGATGTCCCTCCAGATGTCCCTCAAGACGTAGAGGCAAATCCCGAGGTACCGAAGGACCCAGAGAATTCCCTTGAATCATCGAAATCAAAAGAAGATGAGAATTCCAGTGTTTTATCGTTAAATCCCCCAGCACCAGTGGGAAAAGCATCTCCTGGGCTACTCGATGTCCCTCAACGTCGTGCCCCATCCCCCGAGGATTTTATTCATCAAAAGGTGTTGAGTCGACCGAGAGGTGGTGAGAGGAGAAAAAAAGCTCGAGGCTGGCCAGTGGAGCTCACCTCAGAGACTCTCCCTGCCTCTAATTCTCCAGCATCTGACTCCAGAGAGTCGACGAGCCTTCAAAAACAATCACAGAACATGAATTTTCCATCGAAAATACCAACGATCATCACGTGTCAACTGGAGACTCCTGATGTGACTGTTCCTCCACCGAACCTGGGATCGAAAACGATTGAATTCGATATTCTCCAGCCACCACCTGCCTTTGATCCCAGGAAGAAGAAGAACGAGATGCCGATGGGGAATTTGATACCAGACTACCAGATAATGTGCCCTGGAAATTTCTCAATTCCTCCTCCAATGATCAATCTACCAACAATGGATTATGGCATGGCACCTAGTTATGGGTCAATGCCTCCACCATATGTCCCCATGAATTATCCACCAGTGATTCCATCGTTGGATTATCCCACACCACTGGTACCTCCACCTACTCTCAACGCGAATTTAACGAGAAATCCATTGAGCACTAGTTTAAATCAAATTCCAATGCCGATGAATCCACCACCACCAAACGACGACGACGCTCTGAAGGAGTTGGAGAAAGCCATGGAATTTGCTCAGGAGTTGATGGGAATGGGTGAGACTGATGACATAAATTTTGATAAAGAGTGTGAGAATGGTTTTGATAATTTTCCAACACTTCCTGATCTGCCACCGCCATTACCACCTCTGCCGGGGCCACCAGCTGACGATGACGCCTCGAAGAAGAGGAAAAAGAAGAAGAAAAAGAAGAAATGCGTGAATGAAGGGACAGAATCACCGAAATATCCAACAGTGTCCACGTACACTGACGCAATGATCTCATCAGCATCTGGTGTATCATCCCCAGTGGTTTCTACACCCTCTGTACCCTCAACCCCTTGTCCCACGACTCCATCAACAACACCCCCACGTCGAATCTCGAACACAACTCCCCCAATTTTATCCAAAAAAGAATTGCTGTCACCGACAAAAGAAGATCGCCCCAAAGTAACATTTAACCTAGGTTCAGTATCAAAAAAGCTGAATCAATCGAGTGAGTGGAGACAGAACGTCGTATCACCTGTATCCCAGGGTAAAACAAGAACAAATTCATCCCCTCATAATCAATCAATCGATCATTCATCACTAAAACCAGTACCACCACCTGAAACAATTCACAGACCCGAGAGAACCGAGAAGAAACACGAGAAACATCTGGAAAAATCTGAGAACCCACCAGTGGATCCCAAGAAGACACCATCCCTGGATCTCATGGATCTTCTGAGATCCTCACAATTTGATCCCCTGAGTTTCTTCTCAAGCCCATCATCAAGCGCATCTCGTCCGTCTCACACACCAGACCCTCCAGAGGCTCTCCCAACAGCATCAACCTCGAAGAAGTCATCGAAGGTCAATTGGAAGGATCGAGTGATAGGTCGCTTTCTCAGAATGTCAAAGAACGATATCGAAAACATGATAAACAACTCGAACCTCCGAAAATTCGATATCGCAATGCAGCACCTGGTGAAGGAGAAGAAATCATCTCTCTCCATGGAGATGAGGAACACTGAGGATGAGAAGATGAAGAATAATATCAATGACAAAGAGGATTTCATCCATCAGTTGAAACAAATTCTCGATCCAGCAGCTACTGTTGACATCTCTGATCTTCCCACGAGTTTTATTCATCAGTTGAGCAAAGTACTTCAGCTTGATGTACTTCCACATGAGGATAACACCGATGATACCACTTTATCCAACCCAGAGACGACAAATACACCTCAGATCGATGAATTACACCAGAATGAGTCGTCGCAAATGTTTGGGATCAACGCACCTGTTATTTCCACTGGCGATACATTCAAGTTGTCAAAGATCGATAAACGAGTGAGTAAAGACACTACAAAGGGCACAGTAACTTGCAGTGAATCTACAGTCAATGCACGTACCTCCAAACGCCATAAAAATTCAGCATTTGTTGATAATAATCCACCAATTCATCACAATCAGAAAAATCCAATTAATCATCAATTGAATTCACCAGATTCGAGATTATTGCCACAGGTGTCAGTACCGGAACCTGGGGCACTTATAATGGACGAGTTGGATGATATTTTCAGTGCTGGAATCAACAGGGCGAGGATGACGAAAATATCCAGTCAAAATTCCAAACAAAATTCAACATTTACCCATAATTATGGGAACAATTATCCAACAAATGCTATAATATCGAGGATTGAGACACCAATTGTGGACAGAGTTGATAGAATATTTAATACTGGTATTGCTAAAGCTAAGGCAGCCTCCAAAGTTGATGATCAGAGGATAATGAGGTCTAGGAAGGGCTCCAGTGAACTCGATTTTTTTCGGAATTTAACGAAGGAGGAGTATGATGCCAGGTATGGAGAGTCATCTCACTCCTCCCACGACAATCCATACAGAATAATGAATCCAAAGCACAGAAAATTCAGTGATCAGACTAATGGAGAGAGGGATCATGATCCATTATCGAGAGGTGCACCATCACCACGTCTGATGAATAATTACGCTGACAATTCAAGTGAGGGTATCACAAACGATGAATTTGATAGTGCATCGTCTTCAGGGAGTTCTGACGAGAGCTCTGACGAGCCCAGCATTGACGTATCACGAATGCTGCGTTTTATAAAGGAGAGGGAGAAGATTGCCAAGAAGAAGAGTCTCAATGAGGAGATCAGGGACGAAGTGACAGCTGAGATTGAGCGTAAGCGTAAGGAGAAGAAAGCGTATAGAGAGCATCGAGCGTCGAGATCAAAGAAGAGAGAGAAAAAGGGAAAGCACAGGAGGGAAAAGCATCGGAAGAATCGAAAGAAGAAGAAGAAGAGGAGTTATCATTCAGCTGGTGATGATAATTCCGTGGATCGATCGCTGCCGCTCATCAGTGAACACGATATCAAGAAAGAGCCTGAGGATGAGGTGGAGAAACGACGAGAAGTCACAGCATCTCAGGTAAAACGTAAGAAACCTATGATTGGACCGAAGAGTGTCATGGCTAAAGCTGCTCTCAGGCAGGAAGAGCCCAAGACTATTTCAACAACTCGTTCGTGTTCGATTCAACCATGCAAATCGATATCTCAACCTAAAGTAGCTGTTGTTACTGCAGCCTCTGGGGTCAGCAATCGATCTTCAATAGTGGCATCGCCTTCAAGGAATTCACCAGCTCACTTTTCACCCAACAGCGTGAGCTCCAGTAATTCTCAGATTACGAATCAGTTGTTGAAGACAAAAGCTCAGCTCAAGCAGATGCCAGAGGTGATGAAGAAGACTGAGAAACCTGGAGGAACTGAGGTCTTCAGGAAGGGATTGGGGAGGAAAGGACCCTCGACACCTCCTCTTCAGGTGAAACCTGTCCCTGAACATCTGGGAAAAAATTCGGGATCTGGTACTGAGAGGGTTGAATCTGTTTCTGTGAAGATTGAAGCTGTCAGTCCACCTAAAACCACTTCTTCAGCTTCTCCAGTTCCTCCAGTTTCTACTTGGGGACAATTACAACAGTCGGGGAATTCTGGGAGTAATTCGGAATCGGTTGAAGCTAGATCACCTCTGATAGTCCCTGAACCATCGGAGAGTGCCAGATTCACGTTCCTCCAGAGGAATAAAATCGTGGAGGACAGGGGAATTTCTCTAGCTCCATTCGTCCTTGATGATGCGATATCTCTGAGAACCAGTGAAACGTCAGAGAATCATCAGCAAGTGTCAGCATCTAGAGTGACAGATGGTAGTAAAAACTCGGTTAAAACGAAAAAGCTGGACTTCAAGGCATATCAGGAGAGAGCGCTGGAGAGAAAATTACGAGCTGAAGGAAAACTTCCACCTCTTCTAGAAAAAATCATTCCTCGTGAAAATACTCAGGTTCAATCTCCAGTGGATGAACTACATCAAGCCCCCAGTGGCTCCAGATCCCTCCAGGACTTCGTATCTCCTCCTGTTAGCTCATCACCTCCAGTTCTAGTCAAGGAAACCATCACGAGAAATTATATACCACTTGACATTAAACAGAATAAACAAAAGGATAAAGTGAATATTCCAGAGAAATCACCAGATGCTTCTGCTCCGAAGAAGAACATTGTAGCTGATCAACAGGATGTGATTAAGGAGAAGATTTCACCACCTGCAGAGGCTAGAGTAAAATTAGATTTGCGATCGATGCCTCCAGGTCCATTGAGCTCTAAACTACGAAAAAATACTTCTCTCGGTGAGAAAAAAGAGGTCAGGGTGTCTTCGATAGCTGCGGGGAGGAATCCATCTCCTGAGCCAATGAAACTTGAGGAGAAACCTGAGAAAATAGCAGAGAAACCTCTGAAAAAAGGAAAAGTTTCATTAAAAAGACGTGGCAGTAAATTCCGTGTGCATTTCAGATTTTCCAGGGGATTGATCAGTGATGGTCTACCTGATATTGTCCCAGTGGAGGGTCTACTAGATCCAACAACTCAAAATTCAAGTCGTCAGGATGAAGAAATCCCTGAAGAGACTGAAGAACTCGTTGCACCTGATCTCGTAAAATCTCCTGACTTGGATGCACTGGAGAAAATGGCGGTTGATGATGAGACTAGTGAAAAATTACCAGAATTAAGTTTAGAAGAGTCACTAGGAGTTCTTGGAGCAGCTCCAGGAAGTGAAGACCCAGAAATTCCAGGACTTTCGTCCATAAATGCACTAGAACCACTGCATTATCGATTGAAGGAGTCATCGAGCACTTACTCGGAGGAAATTCCACCAATAACCGAGAGAAATCATTCAGAAATAATTGCAAATGCAGAAATCACCCCTGACCTTGAGGAGAGTGGAATAATGAAGGATTCGGATCCACTGGAAGCCCAGGCGAAGCCCAACGACGAGGTGAGCCTTTCGACAACTGTTCCAGAGGTTCCAGAACCTGGGGAAATCCCTCCAGCATCCGCAGAGCTCCCTGTGAGCCTTTCAGAACAAACAAGTTCAGCATTCTCAATGGATCAACTCGAAACACCTCAACTAGATCCTAAATGTGAGTCTGAACCTCTGAGCAAGTGTCTAATTGAAGCACCAGGTGATTGTCCTGGTGTTCCTGAAGTGCTTGAGCCATCGAGTTGCCCTCTGGATCTCCCTCCACTTCCTCCTCCTCATGAAACCCTTCAGGAAGACGTGTCACCACCAGAACTATCAAATTTACCTGGTGAAACCCAGAGCTCATCGATCGAGACACTGAAAGATGTTGATCTCAATGAGAGAAACGATTTGGCTTCACTGAGAGCCGACGAGGCCACCTGGAGGGTACATCCTGATCATCTCAGCTCAGAGGATCTAGATAATCCTCGAAACATTCCAGATTCTAAGGAGGATGTGTCTTTTGCTGAATCCCAAACGAATTGGCAGTTGGAGGCAGAAATATCGACAGAGGAATCGAGAAAAAATGTTGTTCTCCATGACAGAGCACTTGTGGTGGACACACCTAGGAATTCTCTACTGGATGATCCAATAGCTTTTGCCACGACCAATAATTCACCGTCGAACGAAGCTCCTGATGAATTCGGTATTCTCTGTGAGAATGACATCCAGGGATCGATCTATGAGAATCAATTGGCGGAGAGTTCACCAATTGATTTGATTAATGACTCGTCTCTTCCATTGAGAACGTCATTCACACCTGATGATGAAATTGTCAGTGGATTTCAGGATGAGGAGATCAATCAGGTGAATCAGGTGGCTATTGTGGTGAGGGAGTTGATGGACGTTGGGAAGAAGAGTTCACCCGACAGATTGCCCTCTTTGATACTCCAGGGGATGATCCGGGACGTTGATGAGGAGATTAAGACACCTGAGGAGGCAGAGGACGAGGAAGTTGGTGATATCCCTGGGACAGGTGTTCAGGGAGTTGAGAACAGGGATGTCTCCGTCTCAAAAGTGGATGGAGAACCTGTTGGGAGTCACGAGGAAGCTGAAGAAAGCCCGAAGACATCTGAAGACATCGATACAACTCTGGCTGAAGTGGAGGATGATATCAAGAGTCTTGAGGAAGCTGAGAAAAGTGCTGTACCTGAGGTTGAGAATAAAATACTTGAGGAGGTGGAAGAGGATGTAAAGGCACTGCAAGGGGCTGAGGTAACGCAGGAAATACCTGAGGAGCATCAGGCAATTGATAATTTGGGAGGAAGTATTGGGCCACCTGAAGAATCCGTACCTGAGAATCAAGTACCTGAGCCAGATGTTTTACCTGAAATGCAGGTGCTAGCTCCTGAAGAGGTTGAACAGTCACTGAATTCACTGGCGTCTGAGAAGTCCGTGACATCTCAATCCGCAGCAACTCCAAGACCAAGTTCATCGAGACTCGAAGAGTCACCAGTCCCGGAGGCATCAGCATCTCCTAGAAATAAAGATGATGAGGATATATCGAACGAATCAACTGCGAAGGAAGAAAACCCCCCGATAACGTCTCAGGAGGATAAATTGAAATCCTCCGATCTCCCTGAAAATCTTCAGAACAAAATCGATGAGTCCTCATCATCTTCAAGGCCTTCCCCCACTCCCTGGGCTCCATCGCCGACGCCTTCAGGGCCTTCGCCACTTCCTGAGACCTCGAAGCCGGAGGAAAAATCAAAAACGAAAGATCCAGTCGTCGAAAAATCGAAGGATCGTTACGCCAAGAGACAGAGGGACCCGGATCCCCTCAAAAGACTCAACAAATCATCCCTAGGGACTAAAGAGCACAAAAAGCACCGGCACCACGACAAGAAGAAACTAAAAATCACGGAGAAACAAGTGGAAGAGGCAGTGAAAGCAGACATCGTTGTGGTCCAACCGACGACGAAGATCGGAGTAATGGCGAGGATGAGGGAGATAGACATCGCCATTCAGAATCTAATGAATGAAAAAATGACCCTGTACCAGATGCTGCAGAATGACGAGTGGCCAGTTCCCCAGGGGGACGTCCCAGATGCACCAGCAGTCGACCAAAAATCCAAAGGAAAAGTGAACAACACTCCAGGGGAGAAATCCACTGTCAAGAAGGCACTCAAGGTCGTGCCTCGATTGCCTGAACCTTTAGAGATTAAACAGTCCAGTACTCCAGAGACTCATGTCAAATCTGACCCCCCAGTGCCACCCTCTGACACAATTTCTACTGTAAAACCCCAGAAGACACCGAAAAACGAGGAAAAACGACATTGGGAGGACAAAATTCCTCATAAAGCTAAAAAACGAGCACACAGCAAAGAAGATAATGAAGTAATTAAATCGAAAGAGGCAAGACGAGAGTCAACCAGCTCTGTTCATTCCAAAGTATCAGAAGACAGCAAGAGAGATAAAAAGGCGAAAACTCCTGAGGCACCACCGAGAAAAGCAGTGAAATTGTCTCAGCTGATTGCTCGTGACTTCAAGCCGAAACCATCGCCTCAGAAATCTAGATCCAGCATCACCGACGAGAAGACACGAGATAATCGGTCTAGGAGTCTCGAGAAGTCCTCGACATCATCGTTGAAGCATAAAAATGCATCGCACGTCGAGAGCAACGAGAGATCAGAGAGTGGAGATAATCCAAAGAGTGAAGACAAGAGAAAGAAGAAGAAATCGAATAATTCAGCAGCAGACAATCAACCTCTACTTTACTCTGATGAGAGCACTCTGGATTCTGCTGATCGTGTTATCAATGATCAGAAGAAGGCGACGGGATTGGCACTGCTCGAGGAAAGTATGAAGAGAGAGACTGGGATGAAGAAGAAACAGGACACGAAGAGATTGAAGGAAACGACTCCTGATGACGATGACGAAATTGATTTGCCTAGGTCGGTCTCGTCGAAGAAGAAGAATCAGAAGAGGTCCACTCACGGGAGAAAATCCATGACTGAATCAACAGGTGATCCTAACGTGGGGAAACATGTAGCTGAGATAATCGATGCTGTAGCTAAAAATCGAATTATCAGTGTGGAGAAACCTGGAGTCGCGAAGAAATCAGAGAAGACTGAGAAAATTACTGATAAGTTGGAGGAGGTGAAGAGGAAAACTAAAGATGATTCAGAGAAGGTGCAGGAGTCGAGGACTGAGGTGAAGCCCCTGAAGAAGGTGGACACGAAGACGAGTCTCGTTGACTCTGAGTCGTCAGATGATGATATGCCGAATCTGGGAGACGCCATGGTCACTTCAGACGTCAGAAATTTCGCCAAGACGTCCTCCAAACGAGTCGAGGGCTCCAGTGATGAAAAAGAGAGAGAAAAAGAGAAAGAAAAGGAGAAAGAAAAAGAGAAAGAAAAAGAGAAAGAAAAAGAGAAAGAAAAAGAGAAAGAAAAAGAAATTAAAGAGGCGAGAAGATCTGAGAAATCAGAAGCAAAATCCCTGAACGTGAGAGCGGAAATATTGGACGACTGGAGTGACTCTTCGAGTTCATCTTCGAGACGTCAGCAGAAGGACAAGAAGACGAGAGGATCGAAATCGATAGTCGAGGGGTCCGATGAGGAGATGAAGACGATTTTAGAATCAGAGAAGCAGCAGAAATCGCAGCCGAGCGATTTGAAAGGCAAACCGGTGGAAAAAATTATGAAACGTCCTAAATCTGTGATGAGTGATAAATCTAAACAGAATTTAAGAGATTCAGACAATAAATCGATTGGTAAGGAAGCTGAAAAGGCCAAGCCCCCGAGGGAGAGTGAAAAAATAGAAAAATCGAGGAAAGATGACAGAGAAAAGCCACGAGTTCCTTCTGGTGTTGGAGACGAGTCTCCGATAGAAGGTGACGATGAGGACGAGGAGATCTCCACGAGGCGAAAGGGTACATCGAGGAGAAGTAAAAAAATGAGCAGCAGAAGGAGCAACAAGTCCTCGTCCCGGAGTAGATCGAGATCAAAAAGAGCACTGAGATCGAGCTCTCGAGATTCAACACCAGAGCTCGAGAGATTGAAGAAGAGGCCGCGCTCTGGGAGTTCTACAAGCTCGATAAACAGTCGGAGGAGAGCCCTGGTTGCCAGGAATGAGTCACACCCGAATAAACACAAGAAGAAACAGCAATTTGTGGAGAGGGGTCGAGAGGAGATGATGAATTGTAGAGTTAAAATTGTTGACTGCAATTATCTGCTGTCATTACAACCAGAGGCACATCCCCAGGTGTTTAAAAAATTCGGTATATCTAGGATAAACTCAGGTGCACCTAGATGTGGAGTTTTGATTGACGAGAAGAGCAGGAGTGAGGATGATTTTCCACCGATGATTGTTGTTGAGGTTGATGACAACGTTGGGAGTTCGTCAGCTGTTGAATTAATTGAAGAGGCCATTGATCAAGACGATAAAATGTCGGATAAGTCTGATTGCCTTGGGTTTCCACTGTCACCCAGTGGTGAAGAAGTTGCTAAAAGTGTCAAGAGCAATGAGATAAATGCCAAAGGACCCAAGGGGACTGATGGGACCTGTGAGGTAGATGTCGAGATTATTGATATCAAGGAGGAGCCCATCATCAGGACAGACAGCAGTGCTGAGGAGGGGGCTGGAGCCCCTGGGGATGAGCCTGACAGGGATGACAAGGGAAAGGATGGAAAACTTCTGGGGGATGAGGGGCCTTGTGAGGAAAAGGCTGATGACAGGGACCGGATGAGGTACACTGTTCACAATGGACCTGTCCTGGATATCAAAGTATTTGGTGATTCATTCCTTGCGGCTAGTGAGGACGGTGCTATCTACAGATACAGTCAGAAATCAAATGGAATATTGAATATTTATCGTGGACATGAAGCTGCTGTCACGTGTCTCTATGTCCACGAAATTCCTGGGATCACTGAGAGCAAAAAGTGGTTGCTATTCTCTGGCTCGCTTGATGCTAGTTTACGGTGCTACGACGTCATGGTAATTGTGGAATAAATTTATTATATATAGTATATATATTATATTATAATATTTAATCAGTTTGAAAAGGGTATTATTATTCTTATATGATATCTTAGCAAAGTAAAATGGCGATACGAAGCGTGACGTGAGCTTAATTAAGAAAATTACTCTTTTTCTTTCAGGGAGGGACACTAGATCGTCCCAAAGTGACTGTTGGCAGTCCCATCCAGTGTATGGATGAAGCCTGGGGGAGCATTTTCATTGGAACTAAATCTGGCCATATTTCACGTTATGACATCAAGGTAATTGCTCAATCATCGTGATTTATCTGCTCGAAGTAATTTATTGTAGAAATTTATTTATCAGGAATCAAATGCTGAGGACTGAGATTAATCGAGTAACTGGATTTTTTGGAGGATCAGTTTTCCCGAAATATCTTGGAAATGGGGAAAGATAGTGATATTTTCATAGACACCTTTTTTGTAGCTCCCATCTTTTTTTATAAAAAATGTTTCAACAAAAATATTGCTATCTCGTTTCAGTCGGGAGATATGACTTGAAAACTGATCTCAGAAAAAATGGGATTCTGGTTTACGCTTTGTTTTGATTGTAATTTTTTTATTTGTGCAGACCGGAAGTTTGAGAGAGGACAAATTAGATTTCTCTGACAAGCCGGTGCTCGCTCTGCGAGCCTCGACTGAAGGCATACGAAAAATCCTGATCGTTGCAGCACGCAATCAACCGATTACCATTCGAGATGCTCAGAGTGGTCTCTTTCTTCGGACACTCACTGGACAGAGAACTCACACTGTCTACAGCCTCATGAGGGACAGGGACCTCGTATACTGCGGAACAAGCAGCACTTCTATTCCTGTATTCGATTTTATTGTGAGTTGGCAGAGCATAATTACTTCAGTAATCAATTGTTAATCCAACAAATCGCGTTCGATCAGTGTTTCGGCAATATCTCCGGAACTAACAAAGATAATCGAATTTCTGTAATTACCATTTTTGTAGAGCTAATTGAGAACTACAAAAGATATTATCACGTACATTTCGCTATCTCCCGTAGTTTTGGGGATATTCGTCGAAAACTTCGGGAAGAAATTATTTCAATTAAATTATCGTTTTATTTGTGAAACATAAATTTTTTATAACATTTTTTTTTAGAGTGGAGATCAAGTCGCGCAGTACACGGCAGGTGTTGGCATCGTGTGCATGAGACTTTATCACCAATTACTATTTGCTGGCTGTTATGATGGGAATATTTATGTTTTCGATACCAAGGTATGATCTGAATAAATTCTATTAAGGCATTGAGTTCTAGTTAACATTCTTTTTCAAAAAGATTTTTATCAAAAGATTATTTAACTGGCATTCTATTATTAGTTAATCATTAGTTCTACTTCTTGAACAACCAATTGATCTCTTTTTTCTTTTTTATTCAGGAACCAAAGTTAGTTTGCAGTATCCCAGGCCCTGGAAATATGCTACTGAGCATGGAAATAATTGATGATACAGTGAGTATTAAAATCCTTTCAAAATATTCATTCTCTAGTGAATCATTCATCTCAGGAATTAATTGTATGAAAGTATAAAAAAAATACTGATCAAAAATATTGAGTTGATTTGAGTTACATGGATTTTTAAATAAATAAATTTAAATAAATTTCTCATGAGGGGAAGAGCCTAAAATAAATTCCTGATATGAATAAATTCACTGATAAATTTGATTGATAGATTTTTTTAATTTTATAATGAATTATTACTGTATTTTTGATTTTTTAAAAGAAGGAATGATGAGGGAATGAAAATTAATATGGTGTTGATAAAAATTTCAGATAATTGCAGGGAGCAAAGATCGTCAATTACACGCATGGCGTATGCCTCCCTCAGTCCGTACAATTCTTCTTGAAAGGACCTAGCAAATGCTCAGAGCTCATAAATTTAAGTGCCTAGAAAGTCTAGTCAAACGTATAAAAACTCAAAAATTGAATGCAGAAATCCAAAAGTTGATATGCGTCTGCCTGACCCAGAACAAATCGTGAAAAAGTGTATAATAGTATAAATATTGCACATACGTCTTAACTTTTTTTGTACAAAGATAATTCAACAGAGCTGATAAACACCATAAAAAATGTAAAGAAATCGTTCTCTAATAGTCATAAATAATGTTGGTTTGTAAGTTGAAAAGAATCGATAGATTAGAACAGTATTTTTTTTTTCTCGTTCAGTGATTTATTTTCCTGGAAGAGTTGGGGCTGATAAATGGATGTTGATATCATTTATTATAGTGCCAAATGTACCGCTATTTCTGTTTAATGTTCAGCATGTTTATGTAGTGAATAATGTGTTGAATACAAATGTATGAGAAAAGTACATGAGATGCATAGAATCAAGGGTCCACTAGTGAAAAAGGGAAACATCACTAAAAAAAATGAATATCAATCTTTTTTTTATTATGTGAAAATTATAGAAAAAATACATTTGAATAGAGGTTCTAAATAAATCTCCATTTTCAATTAATTCTCTTAATTTGTTTGTTTTTTTTTTAATCTTGCGTTTACATTTATTAGGAAAAAATTCTGTTGTCAAATTATTGAGATATTTAAAAATTGTCTGTTCTTTTATTTATCATTATTTTTGGAAATTGTTGATTCTAGGGGTGACTACGAGTTTTAAATATTACGGGTTATTAATTGAAAGTCAATCATTAATTAATATAAAAAATGGGAGACGAAGTGATAAAATCAGATTAATTCAAATGTCATTAACATTTTTTTATATAAATAATCGTCGATTGGAAAAGTTTTCTACAATCAAAATTTCAAGTCATTGGATAATTTTTACGATTTTATTGTCATTGTTTATTGGTAATTACTAGTTTTTTTATAGTGTTGAAAAATATATAAAGAGCTGCACCTGACAATTCATAATATTTAGAACTCACAGTTGTTTCTCGTTGAATTAAAATCTTTAACGAAAGAATGTTTGATAAATTTTTTAATCTCTAGTCTCTGAGACCTTTGAGATATTTAATTAATTATTTTCTAAACTACAATTAATTAATCTCCAGTAATAAATGTTTCTTGCAATGAGAGAACCCCCCATTTCGTTTTGCATTAATTTACTTGAGTATTTATAAATTACACTTCACTTACAATCTAACAATTACTCATTATTTCATCTAATTCGAAATTTCTTTGAGACAAAAAATTTAAATTAATTTCTCATTAAAAAATTGCACAATTATCATTTAAAACGTAATGTCTAGTGAATTACCTGGGAATTCCAAATTAATTTTGACATTTCCAGTTTTAATGAGAAATTAATAAAAATTTCTTACAAATTTTACTACAACCCGCGAAAATCCAAATAATTTCCCTAAATAAACAAATTGGAGTAAAAATTGAATAAAAACCCATAATTTCCCATCTCTCAAGCTTTACCAAAAATGATATCGACTTCTGCTCTCAAAAACGAATGATTCTGCTGATGATCTATGAAAAGACATTTCTTAAACCCAAAAAAATGATGTACCACACGTATCACTGTTGTTAGTAACGTAAGGTATGTTTGATCAATGAATATGTGTACATAACTGATCGTCTCGACTTCATGAACCCTCGACAAACCAATTTTATAATATATTTTGATTAAAAAACGACTACTAAAGATTAAAATAAAATGTGCCTGTGTATTGGTCCCATTAAATCGGGAAAAACAATGCTGATGAAGAGACTGCAGGACGGTGACCTAGATGAAGCCTCTCAGACAGTTCCAACAAATGGTGTCAATCTTTTCACAGTTCGTAGCAAGGATGGACACTTTGATATTGTAGTCAAGGAGATTGGTGGCTGCATGGCACCGATGTGGAAAAATTACTTCTCTAGAATAAAAAAAATTATTTACGTGATAGATGCTAGTAATTTGTGTCAAATAAGTGCAGCTGGTGTTTTACTTTACTCAATACTGGTGGAGCCCAAGCTGGATAATATCAAAATAGCTCTTGTCCTGGGGAAGATGGACTTGAGTTACAGACAAATGAGGAATGAGGCTCTTCTTATGATTCATTTTGCAAGACTGAAGAGAGAAGTTCAGCAGAAAATTACTGTCATTGAGGCCAGTGGCATGACTGGACAGGGAGTGGAGATCATCAGGGACTGGATATTCGATCCTGAGACACTCAAAGCTGTTGGATCCACTGGAAATGCTGCTGCTGCTGCCAATGTCGATGCTGTTTTACCACTGAAAAAATAAAATTATGAAGTGAGAAAGAAATTTTAAAATTTTTCGTCATTATTGTTGATTAATCTCGTGATGATTTTCTTACGATTTCTGATGATTAAAAATAATTGAAATTCTGTTTTTTTCATAATCACTCGTTTATAAATTGAATTATTTATTTATTCAAAGCCCTGTTGTTTTTTCAGTTAAATAAGTATTTTTTCATTAATATAATAAAAAGCCAAATGATAAATTCCAATTCAAATGATTTATTTAGTTATCTTCTAAAAAATCATTTGCAAGAAACTAATTATTAATTTAAAATTATCGAAACAAAATTATGGGAAGATTCTCCCAAATTTTCTAACAATCGTGAATCAATAATTTATTATTACATTACAATATTATTTATTGTTTATAAACGAATTTTCATTTTCCTTACGATTCAAAAGTTTTTGAAAAATATTCATAATTTATTTTTATATTCTTTTATTGCACATCCATAATATTCCGATTGTTAATAAATAATAATTGAATAATGGCGCAATAATGTCATCAATAATTAATAACAAGACAATGATTCCGAGAAAAATCTTACGACCGTTCAAAGGGCAATACAGGGCATTGAAAATGTAAATTACAATTGAAAAAATGAATCAGTAAAGAAAAATTTACATAATTATGTTTTTATTTTATACAGTCCACCTTAAACAGGTATAAATCTAATGTAATAACGTTATGTACTGCCAAATGTTCAACATTGTTGCAAAATTGAATTCCCACGTACATTCACTGGGATATTCTTTCCATTATTACACTGATATCGAATTGTTTGGTTTTGTCGTTGGGAACATGCCATTTGCTCATTTATTATTTTCACGGTATTTTTATCAAGAGAATCGGCGTCAAGTGACGATAATAAGTGCACAGTCACAAAATTTATTCCATTAATTCCATCTGTATCCCTTCAATGTATCCTCGTGAGGTCCTCGACGACTTTAACTAGATCGTCCACGGTTGCCTCCTTTTTCATCCCACTACCGTCATCAATCTGTAAAACAGTGAATCAAAATCGAATTTTTTAATTAATAAATGAATGTATATTTTTTTTGTAGAAAAACATATGTACAAAATTTCTAGAGAATTGTAGAATTCATTTACATTTTTCTGAGTACATAAATGGGATTTTAATCTAAAAACTTCATTATGGTAATGAGGCAGATGGACACTTCAGACATTTTCGATATTTGCTGAAGAAAAAAAATTAATTCATTTGTTTAACCACTGAGTTATGAAAAATCGTGTAAAAGAGTCTAGAGTGTGCATTTTACTCACTAGCCCGTATTTATTCAATAAAATTCAATTTCGTTTTGAGGTGAGTATCAGAAAAATGAGATTTCCCTCAGATTTAAGGACCGGTTGGATTATCTGGAAAAGATAATTTACTCCAAAATTGGGATTCCTAATTAATCTGGCAATTAATTGTTTTTTTTAAAATAATTGTTAGCTAGCGTTCTAGCGGTTGTCAACGACTAGGCCGCTAGCTAACAATTATCGGAAAAAACAATTAATTGGTGGAGTAATTAGGAATCCCAATTTTGGAGTAAATTATCTTTCCGAGATACTCCATCCGGCCCTTAATAATATTCTCAAAAACTGAAATTCCAGAAATGAATTTAAGGCTCGGGTGGATTATCTAGAAGAGAGAATTTACTCCGAAATTCGGATTCCTAATTACTTTGGCAATTAATCGTTTTTTGCAATAATTATTAGCTAGCGTTCTAGCGGTTGTCAACAACTAGGCCGCTATCTAACAATTATCGGAAAAAACGATGAATTGACGGAGTAATTAGAAGTCCCAATTTTGGAGTAAATTATCTTTCCCAGACAGTCCATCCGGGCCTTAACCCCTTCCCTCGATACCACAGCTTTCCACTCAAAATATCTTTGAAACTAAAAGAGATATTGAAATTACTCTCAGAACCTTTTTTGCAGACCTAATTACTGCCTACAAAAAAGCTCCCCACAAAAATCCCCTATCTCCCCCAGTTTCGAAATTATTCCAAAAAAACTCTTAGAGCTCGAAATAAACTCCCCACAATCTGCTCCCACCTTAAAAATCCGGGATTCCCCCTCCCGAAACCCCAGAAATACAAAAAAAAAAACTTACCGTGAGTCCCATAGCAACCTCCGCCATTTTCTCATGATTCAAATCCAGAAAGCTCTCGACAAGATCCCCATCAATGAACCCCTCACACTGTTCAACCTTCAGCTCAGTATTAAAACTCCTCCAAAAATGATGCTCAATCTTTCCCACACTCTTGATAACAGACGTGAGCCTGTCCTCCAAATTCCTCAAGAACTCATAAAAGCCCGAAGGAATCTGGGTAACAAGTCCAATAGCTCCCCCAACAGTGCCAAAAAGTACACAACCCTGAGTGGGTGTACTGCTCTCTCCAAGATGCTGCATGACGAGAGATCCATGCCTGAATACATTAACCATATCCCCCAGATGAAATTGCCCAACCTCCTGCATCTGCTGTCTCTCCTCCTCACTGGTAGCTGCACTGTCCTTCTGACAGACAAACAAGTTGAAGCAGTTCTCAGCCCCCAGGAAGGTATCATCATCAAGAATCTCAATGGCTGTCATCCAATTGGGATTGTAATCCCTAGCTATCTCCTCAAAGCTCCCCTCCATCGTCTTGTACTGAAGAAGAGTAAAAGACCTCATGAGATCACCAACAAGTACAAAATCCCCTTTGGTCTTCAAGAAGAGAGCAATAATATTATTAAAATGACTGCACTCAAGCCTCAACTCCTTCTCAGCTGTCCACTCGAAAAGTCTAACAGTACTATTAATACTGGCCAACAGCTTTCCATTGAATTCAACGAGTGAGTAACAAGCTCCCTTGATCTCCTTCTCAGCAATCTGACTGAATTTTCCATCGTTCCACTGGTACAGCAGAATTCTCCCCATCTTCGGTTCTGACTCGTCAGGATTTACCACAGCTGTTCCAACAATGAAATAAGACGTGGGATCCTCGCCAAGCTTCGTCGATATCAAAGATAACGCGTACTCGTTGGGCATCAAGGTGTGAGCATGAAGAACTTCAAACGTGTGCTGATCGATGATCAAGAGATTATGAATCTCAACTTCCTGTCCAATTTCACTGGATGCTGTGTGTCCAGGTTTACTGTGCGATGCTACGTGTGAGGCGCTAGATGTCGATGTTGCCTGGGTAGATGCTGATGGACGAACAATGCTCACTCCACTGCTCTCCTGGACATCAACCCTCATCGTGATAACACCGAAGGTCTGGGATGATTCTTGATAGGCTATTCGCCTGGGTGATTCACCTAGAGGAACAGTTCTTATATGGAGCTTCTGAATTTCATCGATAGTACCAATAGTCACTGTAGAATCAGTAGCGAGTGCCAGACTGTCTGGATAAGATTCAGCATTGAGTGAGCACATGTGATTGACTTCCTTCAAGTTCACATTGCTGAACACCAGTTTGTGGTTGGAGGAGTAGATGACAGTTGGACGATCAGAGCATGCAAATACATTGGTAGTTGATAGAGATCTGAAGGTTCTCAGGACAGTTGGTTGTGTTCCCAGGGTGACTTTCTTCTTGTCAGAGAGAACTCCATTGTCCTTCAGCAGAGAGAAGTAGTACATGGAGCCATCACCGAGAGCACAAAGCAAATAAGTATTTCCCTCGAAGCAAGTCATGAGAATTGATCTGGGGATTATCTCACCACCGAGCAATTCCTTGTTGATCTCCTCAAGACTCGGAAGTGTTAGGATTCTGATGGAGATGTCTGTCCACAATCCCACAGCCACTATTTTCGCCTCTGTGCATCCATCGAGGGGTGAAATATCCAAACATGCGACTTCGTGCTGCAGAGTTATAAATCCCTTTGGAATAATTTTCTCGTCTGTGATTTCAATGTAGAATAAATCATTACCAGTTGCACACAACACTTGTCTACCATTGCAAGCTACCACGGAGATGGTGCGTTTGTTATCAGGCTCCCACTCAGAAACCACTGATTTTGCCTCGTGGGAGATGAGTCGAACGGAGGTTGGGGTGATTTGAATCAGAAGATCATCACTGACATTTCCGGTGTGAAAAGTCTGCTCGTCCGCCACGAACCCTGGAATCTCAGTCTCCTCGACCTCTTCCCCATTCAGGGTGAGAATTCTCGTCTGGCCAACAAAAGATACCACCAGAGTATTATCAAAACTCTTATTCCCCACCTTCAACGCCCACATTCCCTTTATACCAGGAAGATCGATGCTGGCATGCTCCTGAATGCCAATTCCATTTCTGATTATCCTGAGGGAGCCCTCCTTGAATCCCCCAGAGCACGTGACCATCTGTCCTTGACCCTGACGCTCAAGATCGACGACAGCCATATCAACGATTGGTGCTAAATTTGTGAAGGTCTCCATGGGAACGCAGTAAGACCCATTCTCGTCAGCTTTTGTGATTAATTTGATGAGTTGAGAGTCACCTAGACGACTGCCCACGAAGATGACACCGTTGTCGAGGTACGTTATGCACTCTGGAATACTGACTTCACCGAGGAGCTCCACCTTCAGGTCTTTTATCACCAGAGTGCCATCCAATTTTTTCTCCTGCTCCAGAAAGAGCATGAAGAGGTGCCCTGCCATGTCCCCCAGTAAATAGCGAAGACCCTGGGCGTCTACCTTAGCATAACAGGTAATTGTGCTGTATTTTATGATGGGGGGCACCACAGCCACGTACGTTGTACCATCGTGATAGAGAATACTCTCCTGTCCTATGATAATGGCACCACAGATTGGAGAGGGGACTGGAATCACCATCATCGACTCTCTCTCGACGTTGTCCTGCTTCCAGAGAGTTTTCACGAACTCTTTGTCTCTCAAGGATATCTCGTGGGTTTTCACGTGACGTCCGTTGATGTCCTGGTGGATTATTATCAGGGTGGGATTTGCACAGCCATGGAGAAAATTCACGTCCTGAACTTGTTGCTCGTCCATTCTAATTGAGGAGGCTTTTAATTCCGGGTTGTCCTTGTCCAGCGGAATGATCTTGAAGAGACCGTCGTACAGTCGAAGACCGATTACTCTTGCTTTTGGATCGATCACTGCTTTTATTCCTGTCTCTGAGGGCTTACCTATTCTGTCTGCCACGTTGCCGTGGGCTTTTGTGATTATTTCTATTTCCTCTCCTTCTCCGGAGCATTCTAGGATCATGGCATTGTATCTCGTCGTCAGGAGGAACAGGAGATCCTTCTTTTCGTGCTAGAAACAGGAATTCATTTTTGTACTTTATTAAGGAATCGATGTACGTTTTGGAATTTTATTGAAATTACAATCACAGGGATAAATTATGATGAATATTTTTTTTTGAATCAGTTTTTGGTTGATATCTCCAGATTGAAGGCGCAGAACGAATTTTTTGTAGAAACATTTTTTGTAGAGAAAGTTGAGAGCTTGAAAAAAGATTTTTATGGAAATATTTTTTTTTTCCTTCAGTAATGAGATATTGGCGGTTTACTGGCCTCGAAAAAATAGACTTATCTTAGTTTGCAACTTCGCAACAGAATTATCAAATTGTTGATTATATTTGGGATTAATTTTTATAAAAGGAGACAGTTTTTCATTCTCTTTCGTCAGCTAAACAATAATTATAATTACATTATGGAGTAATAAAAATGATTTCAAATGATTGAATAACTCTGACACTTAATTCAAAAAAGTCTCAGAAACAAAAATATTTCGGCAATTTCCCTTAACATGATTTAATATTCGTGCAGACACAATATTGTTTAATTAATAATGTAATAACCCTAATCCAAAGGTGTAAACCTTTTTTTCACATGAACAAAGAATTAATTCTGCTTTTGTTACGTTAGACAAAATTTTCAACAATTTGAATCTTTTAATTTTATTCATTTTTCCCCCCAAAAAAAACAGAATGACTCTTCAATTGAAATGCACTTACTGGTGGTCTGAAAAATTTAATGACTGCGATTTTTCCATACATTCCAACCTCCTTCAATGGCCTGAGGCCTTCAGGAGTGACCAAATAAATCTCCAGTCTCGTATTTTTAGCCAGAATAAGATTCAGATCCGTTGGAGATGTAAAATTACCTGTGAACAGACAATGTCACAAATTTTCATGACAAATGCAAGAGAATAATTGTGATAATTAAGGTTATTTCTAGGAAAATTGAATTACCGGTTACACAGGCTGTTACAGCCGTTGGTTTGTGAGCAGTCACTACGTAGTGATGAGCCATTGCTTTCATAATACAATACTCAGGATATAATCGTCGTATTTCATTCACATTCGACTGGAGAAAAACAATAATAACAGGGTCTCTGGTTACCGCTTCGACAAATTATTTCTCGGTGTTTTCTCTCCGTGAATTTTCAAGTTCACGCGCCACGAAATCAGCAAAGACAGAGGGGAGACTCCAGTGGATTATTTTTTTTTTATAATCAACAAATAAATTGAATTTCGGAAATTTTACAGCGATGGCAGCACCTGGCAAGGGAGAAACCGCGCGAAATTCGAAGATATTCCGAATGATTCTCTGAATTTTATTTGTTTATAACTTATGGAGTTTATTTATTTTTAATATATTTGAATTTTTATATTATGGATGATCTTTTTCATCACGATATACTAAAAGGAACTTTTCCGCACTTGTTACGAAATATACAATTACTCATATAATAAAAAAAAAAGTTTATTTGTCATTTACAACTGTTTTATTTTTATTTATTCTCATGGCGCTGTGCCGAAAAGTAACTTCGCGTGCCTGAAAAGTGACTTTCCCGCACTTGTTACGAAATATATCATTTCCGCACTTGTTAAGAAATATCCTATTTTTCAAATTTTTTTTTATAAAAAAAATAAAATATAAAAAATGAAAACGAGCCTTAAAAATTTAATTAAATTTTTCCCCACGAGGTGACCTATCTCTTTCTCATGTCAACGTTTCGTATCTTGGTAAAATGGTCATGGGTTGATGGAGACCGTCTGATTGCGGCGGGCGGTTACATTAGAGCGGGTCGCGACGCAGAAGGACACAGAAGCCTTCAGGCTCACAACAAAATGGCCACGTCCGACTCAAAGGCACCGATAAGGACCGTTAAAAGGGTCCAATTCGGAATCATATCGCCCGATGAAATAGTGAGTAATTCATTAACACACGTCCCAACGACAATGGGATTATTTTTTATTAATTCCCCTTCGTTATTTATTGACTTGCCAACCACACGCCTCCATCGACGTTACGTTCCATTGCATTACGTTTATTATTATTAATTCTGATTGTTCTTAGGTATCATATTGCTTTTGTCGGTCGATTAAATTGAAATTCATGAGGAAATGCGGGAATTTTAATCGGGAGAATCCACTCTTCATAGGCTTCAACCCCTAGGTCGTCGTATTGGTGTGATTATCCCGCTTATTCTGGCTATTTCAGGGATATAGCCAAGGCGGAAATGAAAAATCTTAGATAATTGTTGGGATTAATTCATCGAGGAAAATAACGCGATTTACCTGGATCGATGGTTTTTATACTTTTTTAGTGATGAAAAGTCATTAAAAATGTCTCTTGCGTTTGCAATTAATTAATTAATTATTTCCCCCGGTGTTCAACAAAGAAATTGAAATGCCATTGTCATTTTGTCGATCTCGTATTTTCGTAATTAATTCATCAAGTACGTAATAAAAACATTTTTCTAGCGGATAAAATGAAGTAACAGGAAAAATCTTGATTTTCCCCTGGATTTCCGCCTTTTTTTTCTAATGTTCATACAAATTCCGGGAATTGATGTTAACAATTACAGAGGAAAATGGCGATTAATAAAAATATTTAAACATTTTACAAATGAAAAATGATAATTTGAAACTTCATTTGTCAATTTTCGAAAATATCTCCGTAACCAATGAAAATTTCGAAATTTGGGTAATTACCTTTTTTATAGCTCCTGAATATATCAACAAAAAAGGTTTTATCAAAAATCTAGCTATCTGCTTTAGTTCCCAAGAAATTACCAAAAATTCATAATACAGACAAATTGACTGTTTTTCATTTCAGTAATTATTGTCCCTAATTAAAATAATTCCTTACAGCGACGTATGTCAGTGACAGAGGGAGGCATCAGATTCCCAGAGACAATGGAGGGAGGTCGTCCAAAGCTGGGAGGTCTGATGGATCCTCGTCAAGGTGTAATAGACAGAAACTCGCGGTGTCAAACGTGCGCTGGTAACATGACAGAGTGTCCAGGTCATTTCGGTCACATCGACCTGGCAAAGCCAGTATTCCACGTTGGATTCATCACAAAAACCATAAAGATCCTTCGCTGCGTGTGTTTCTACTGCTCAAAGCTCCTGGTGAGCCCCCACAATCCAAAGATCAAGGAGATCGTGATGAAGAGTAAAGGACAGCCCCGCAAACGCCTGACATTTGTCTACGAGTTGTGCAAAAGCAAGAACATCTGCGAGGGTGGCGACGAGATGGACATCAACAAGGAAGGAACCGAATCAACAGCACCAGATCGTAAACCAGGTCATGGTGGATGTGGTAGGTATCAGCCAAATCTCCGTAGATCAGGTCTTGACGTGAGTGCAGAGTGGAAACACGTGAACGAGGACTCGCAAGAGAAAAAAATACCCCTGACAGCTGAACGCGCCTGGGAAATTCTCAAACACATATCAGACGAGGAGTCATTCATCCTGGGAATGGATCCGAAATTCGCCAGACCAGACTGGATGGTCGTGACGGTTCTGCCAGTTCCCCCACTCTCGGTCAGACCAGCTGTCATCATGTACGGATCAGCGAAGAATCAGGACGATCTGACCCACAAGCTAGCAGACATCATAAAATCAAACAATGAACTCGTGAGAAATGAACAGGCTGGTGCTGCTGCTCACATTATCTCTGAAAATATAAAAATGCTCCAGTTCCACGTTGCCACACTGGTTGATAATGACATGCCTGGGATGCCCAGGGCAATGCAAAAATCAGGAAAACCTCTGAAAGCTATAAAAGCTAGACTGAAGGGAAAGGAGGGAAGAATCCGAGGAAATTTAATGGGAAAACGTGTGGACTTTTCAGCACGAACAGTCATCACACCAGATCCCAATCTCAGGGTTGATCAGGTTGGAGTTCCCAGAAGTATAGCTCAAAATTTAACATTCCCAGAGATAGTGACACCTTTCAATATTGATAAGATGCAGGAGCTCGTGAGGAGAGGAAACTCACAGTATCCAGGGGCTAAGTACATCGTCAGGGACAATGGTGAACGAATAGACTTGAGATTCCATCCAAAACCATCGGATCTTCACCTGCAATGTGGCTATAGGGTTGAGAGACACATTCGTGATGGTGATTTAGTGATATTCAATCGTCAACCGACACTCCACAAGATGAGTATGATGGGTCACAGGGTTAAAGTACTCCCCTGGAGCACCTTCAGGATGAATTTAAGCTGTACATCACCTTACAATGCTGATTTTGATGGTGACGAGATGAATCTTCATGTCCCTCAGTCCATGGAGACACGAGCTGAGGTTGAAAATATTCACGTGACACCCAGACAGATTATAACACCTCAAGCCAATAAACCAGTAATGGGTATTGTCCAGGATACCCTGACAGCTGTAAGAAAGATGACAAAACGTGATGTCTTCATTGAGAAGGAACAGATGATGAATATTCTTATGTTTTTACCAAGTTGGGATGGCAAAATGCCACAGCCTTGCATTCTCAAACCCAAACCTCTGTGGACAGGCAAGCAGATATTCTCACTTATTATTCCAGGGAATGTAAACATGATTAGGACACACTCGACACATCCCGACGAGGAGGACGATGGGCCCTACAAGTGGATCTCACCAGGTGATACCAAAGTTATGGTCGAGCATGGTGAACTGATAATGGGAATTCTGTGCAAAAAAACTCTAGGAACATCTGCAGGTTCTCTTCTTCACATCTGTATGTTGGAATTGGGTCATGAAGTTTGTGGAAAATTCTATGGAAATATTCAGACTGTTATAAACAATTGGCTGTTGCTGGAGGGCCACTCGATTGGTATTGGTGACACTATTGCTGATCCCCAGACCTATCTGGAGATTCAGAAAGCCATCAAGAAGGCCAAGGAGGATGTCATAGAGGTAATCCAAAAGGCTCACAACATGGAGCTAGAGCCAACACCTGGTAACACCCTTCGGCAGACATTTGAGAATCAAGTGAATAGAATTTTGAATGACGCTCGTGACAAAACTGGAGGTTCAGCTAAAAAATCACTCACTGAGTACAACAATTTGAAGGCTATGGTGGTGTCAGGCTCCAAGGGCTCCAACATCAATATCTCTCAGGTTATTGCTTGTGTGGGACAGCAGAATGTCGAGGGTAAAAGAATTCCATTTGGTTTCAGAAAACGAACACTTCCACACTTTATCAAGGACGACTATGGTCCAGAGTCCAGAGGATTCGTTGAGAATTCTTATCTCGCTGGTTTGACACCATCGGAATTTTATTTTCACGCAATGGGAGGACGTGAGGGTCTCATTGATACTGCTGTCAAGACAGCTGAGACAGGATACATTCAGAGACGTTTGATCAAAGCTATGGAGTCTGTCATGGTGCACTACGATGGAACAGTCAGAAATTCTGTGGGACAGCTCATTCAGTTGCGTTATGGTGAGGATGGACTCTGCGGAGAAACCGTTGAATTCCAGAATTTACCGACAATTAAACTGAGTAATAAAGCATTCGAGAAGAAATTTAAATTTGATCCGACCAACGAGAGATATCTCAGGAGAATTTTCAATGAAGAGATAGTGAGGGAGATGATGGGCTCGGGAGAGGTGATATCAGAGTTGGAACGTGAGTGGGATCAGTTGAACAGGGATCGTCAGGTCCTCAGGGAGATATTTCCCAGTGGTGAATCCAAGGTGGTGCTTCCCTGCAATTTGACGAGAATGATCTGGAATGTTCAGAAGATATTTCACATCAACAAACGTGCACCCACTGATCTCAGTCCCATGAGGGTCATCCAGGGTGTCAAAGATCTCCTTGAAAAATGTATAATTGTAGCTGGTGAGGATAGACTGAGCAAACAGGCCAACGAGAATGCAACACTCCTGTTCAGATGTCTCGTGAGATCGACACTTTGCACAAAATGTGTATCAGAGGAGTTCAGATTATCGAGTGAGGCATTCGAATGGCTGATTGGTGAGATTGAGACGAGATTCCAACAGGCACAGGTTGCACCTGGAGAGATGGTCGGTGCACTGGCTGCTCAGAGTCTTGGAGAACCTGCCACACAGATGACACTCAATACTTTTCATTTTGCTGGTGTATCATCCAAGAACGTAACACTTGGTGTACCGAGGCTCAAGGAAATTATTAATATCAGTAAAAAACCAAAGGCACCGTCTCTCACGGTTTTCTTGACTGGTGCAGCTGCTAGGGATGCTGAGAAAGCTAAAAATGTTCTCTGCAGACTTGAACACACAACTCTGAGGAAGGTAACAGCCAATACAGCTATTTATTACGATCCAGATCCCCAGAATACTGTTATCGCTGAGGATCAGGAGTTCGTCAATGTCTACTACGAAATGCCTGACTTTGATCCAACGAAAATATCACCCTGGCTACTTCGCATTGAGCTGGATCGTAAACGCATGACAGATAAAAAATTGACTATGGAACAGATTGCTGAGAAGATTAATGCTGGTTTTGGTGATGATCTCAACTGTATTTTCAATGATGACAATGCAGAGAAGCTAGTCCTTCGTATTCGTATAATGAACAGTGATGATAATAAATTCCAGGACACGGAGGAGGAGACTGTTGATAAAATGGAGGATGATATGTTCCTGAGGTGCATTGAAGCTAATATGCTGAGTGATATGACGCTTCAGGGAATCGAGGCGATAGGTAAAGTGTACATGCACTTGCCACAGACTGATGCTAAGAAGAGAATTATAATAACAGATACTGGTGAATTCAAGGCTATTGCTGAGTGGTTACTTGAGACTGATGGTACAAGTCTCATGAAGGTTTTATCTGAACGAGATGTTGATCCTGTGAGAACATTCAGTAATGACATTTGCGAGATATTCCAGGTTCTGGGGATTGAGGCTGTCCGAAAATCAGTGGAGAAAGAGATGAATGCTGTACTGCAGTTCTATGGACTGTACGTTAATTATCGACATCTTGCTCTCTTGTGTGACGTTATGACGGCTAAAGGACACTTGATGGCTATCACCCGTCATGGTATCAACAGGCAGGACACTGGTGCACTTATGAGATGCTCATTCGAGGAGACTGTTGACGTTCTCTTGGACGCAGCATCTCATGCTGAAGTGGATCCAATGAGGGGTGTCTCTGAGAACATAATCATGGGACAATTGCCGAGAATTGGAACTGGATGCTTCGATTTGCTGTTGGATGCTGAAAAATGTAAACAGGGAATTGAAATACCAATGGCTGTTGGAGCTGGTGTGATGGGTGGTGCTGGTATGTTCTTTGGAAGTGCTGCAACACCAAGTATGAGTCCCCAGATGACACCGTGGAATCAAGCTGGTGCTACACCAGGATATGGGGCATCAGCAATGTCACCAACGTTGGGCAGTGGAATGACACCTGGTGGCGCATGTTTCTCACCATCTGGTGCTTCAGATGCATCTGGATTGTCGCCAGCTTATTCAGCTTATTCACCGCAACCTGGAAGCCCTGGAAGTCCGGGACCAAGCATGAGTCCTTATCCAATGTCACCAGCTGGTGGTGCATCTCCGAGTTATTCACCCACATCACCAGCTTATCTTCCTACATCACCAAGTATGACACCATCGAGCCCAAATTATTCACCAACAAGTCCCACATACTCACCAACAAGTCCCAATTATTCACCAACCAGTCCAAGTTATTCACCAACGAGTCCAGGATATTCACCAGCAAGTCCCAGTTATTCACCAACGAGTCCCAGCTACTCACCAACGTCTCCAAGCTATTCGCCAACATCTCCCAGTTACTCACCAACATCTCCGAGTTATTCTCCAACGAGTCCAAGCTACTCACCAACCAGTCACAGTTATTCACCTACATCTCCCAGTTACTCACCCACGTCACCGAGTTATTCACCAACGAGTCCTGGATATTCACCAACATCTCCGAGTTATTCACCAACGAGTCCTGGATATTCACCTACATCACCCAGTTATTCACCAACATCTCCGAGCTACTCCCCCAGTTCACCAAATTATACACCAGCATCTCCATCTTATTCTCCAACCTCTCCATCGTATTCACCATCATCACCTCAATATTCACCAGCAAGTCCCAGTTATTCCCCGAGCAGTCCGAAATATTCACCAACAAGTCCGAGCTATTCACCAACATCTCCATCATTCGCTGGTACATCACCCCAGTATACACCAGCGAGTCCCACATACTCACCAACATCTCCGACTTATTCACCAACGAGTCCAAGCTACTCTCCTAGCTCACCTCAACACACAGCTGGTGGTAGCACGAGGTATTCACCAAGCAGTCCAAATTACTCACCAACCAGTCCAACATATTCACCATCGAGTCCTCAATATTCACCATCGAGCACCAAATATTCACCCACAAGTCCAACGTACACTCCAACGAGTCCCAGCTATTCACCAACAAGTCCAACTTATTCACCACCTGTGCCAGGGTACTCTCCAACGAGTCCAACATATTCACCAGCATCACCAGCTTATGAGCCTGATGATTAAACTCCAACATCTATTTTCAATCTTACGAGAAAACGTGACAGCAGTTATTCTGATTAGTATAATTTTTTTTTTTTCAATTTTATCTCGTCTTCTCTTCATTGTGAATCTACTTTAATCCACTTTGATGTAAGATATTTCAATCTATTCCTTTTTCTATTTTACTATCCACCAATTTCATCTCGCGTGGCGCTCAGCAAATGTTTTAGTTGATTCCCATCGAATTCACGGAGTTATAATTTTGTTTTTTCGATACACTGAAATAAATTATGTACTCGTACATTAGTCGGGGGTTTTTCTTTAATTTTTTTCTTCATCAAGTCAACATTGTGAGTGGAGTGTCATCAATGAATAATATGTTTAAACATTTGACATTATATCGAACAATGTATTGGCATATATTTTTTGTATATAATAAAAAGAAAGAACATTGAGGTCTGTTATCATTTGGCTGTCCTGATATCACCCAGTCATCGATTAATTTTGTTTAAAATATTGTTGCTGGTGGAGGTGGATATCTTGTGGGTCTTCTGTCGCTCCCACCGTCGGTTTGTGTCATTCACTCGTGCATAATTGTATCGTATTACATACGAGAGTGCAAACCGGTTGAATATATCAGATATATTGTGAATGCAGGGATAATCTAGTAGGTGGAAACGTTCTCCAGTGGTAGTTGCATTTCCGTGGAACATGATTCCGGAGAGGATTCCCCTGATTCATCAGGATACTCGCTCTGGACTCAGTATTTTTTTTGCTGCTCTCTGTATTGTTGATATCTTTGGAGTTTTTCCAATTATTGCTCTGCCACGTGCTATTGTTCAATGCGGTATTTATTCAATTTTTTTTTTTAATATTTATTCAAGAATTTGTGCGAGTATATTTATTTATTCAAGTAGTCTTTCATATTTTCAGTTTTTTTTATTAACTCTATAAACAATTATAATTCATTTTATTATTAAAAGTTATTTATTTATTGCAATTTGTTTACAATGAATTCACGTACTTTTGAATATTTCGAATTTTTGAATTTAAATTGCAGGATTATGAATTTTTTCCCGCTCTTTCTCGTGAGTTAATGAAAAACTCATCTGCAAAATAATTATTTAAATAATTTAGCAGTTTTTTGGTGTTATTGTTTGATGCAATATTTATTTTAGTATTTGTTTATGTGTATTTATTTATTTAAATATTCTTACCCTTTGAGTACTTCCGGTTTTTTTAATTAACTCTACAATTAAATTAGTTGTAAACCATTGAAAATCGAATTACAATTTTTAAGATTCCATTTTTTGCATTTTCTCTTGTAAATAAATAAAGAACCGCGAAATAATATTATTTCAATAATTTTTATAAAGCGAGATAATTTTTTATTTGAACTTTTATATTTAATTCAAATCCAATCGGAAATTATTGACTGAATTTTTTCAAAAATCGGGCGATTCCGGAAAATTCGCGCGGTTTATTTATTTATATATTTCCAGGTCTTCTGGGAATTCCCCTCGTTATAGTCGTGGTTTTATTTCAAATTTACACTGCTGCTCTCCTCGGGGAATGCTGGATCATTGCAGCATCCCTGGACCCCCAGATCCTGAGGAAAAATCGGTGAGAAATAATTTTTCTATTCCCCAAGAATTGTAAATAATATAACATACGTTTTTCATAGAAATCCTCTGGCTGCTGTAACTGAAATGACCTTGGGCCCCAGGGCAAAGACTTGGATTAATATTCTACTTGATTTAACTATTTTTGGTTGTGGAATACCGAATTTATTAGTTGGTAAGCCCATATCGATTTTTTAACAACAAAAAACCATAATTAAAAATTGATTACTGTTTATTCCATCTTTTTCCACCAGATCATCCTGATTGTAGGATATTAATAATTCAAAACTTTGAATTTTTATCATTAAACCTCTCGACATGATGCACTTGTCCCCAAATAAATGACGAAATCCTCTGGTAAAAATAATTGTCATGTGTGTCACTTTTCAGCATCTCAAAATTTACAACTCTTCGGTCTGAAGGTCTCAGACAATCAATTCGATCTTTCATTCTGCTACTGGCTTTTGGTTGTTGGAGTATTGTTGTGTCCCCTGATGTGGTTGGGGAGTCCCAGAGACATGAAGTAAGATTTTTTATTATTTTTTTCACTGGAAAAAATAAAAATTTCTGTCCCATTTCGATTGTTCGATTGATTCATATGATCCGAGCCATCCAATTGATTCGATTGATTCACAATTTGAATCATTTAATTAATCCAATGAATTTAATCGTTTAATTAATTCACTCGATCCGATCAATCCAATTGGCTCCATTCATTCAATTGCTTCAATTGGCT